TGTTGTAAACTACGTTCATTTCAGAGACTAGTTGTAAGTCTAGTAGTTGCACTACCTTAGCTCACATTGTCAGTCATGAAACCAAAAGATTTTTTCGGCCTGCCTCCCCCAACACTCTACAGTGGTAGACGCAATACATCCATGTCATCGTCTGTCTAAAAAAACTCGACTTTGGAAGACTACTAGTCCTTTCAGACTTTCACTTGTCACGAGACAAGCGGCATGACACACACTGATTTGACGGCCTCAATATAATAAAGGACCAGTGGATGGATTTACATGGAGGTCTGGTTGTCAAGAATTATTTTATGGACACTTTTCTTCATTTGATTGATGGTATGATTAACACTGCACTGCACTGCAATATTCCAGGTATAACATCAGTTTGGGCTGGACAATCCACGATTGGCACCAAAAGCATCGGTCTATGTAATTGGGATACAAAGACATCAAAACCAAGTCAAAGAGTCTGACTACCCGATTCAAATGGAGATTGGGTTCAAACCGAAACAGCCCAATGCGCAGTGATTTTGCAATCTGGACGTTTCCATCAGGTTTGCTTGGACATTCTTCTACATCACAGTATAGAAAATGTCCTTGAAATAGAACAGATTTGAGACCTGGTGTATGGTATATAGTTTTCTTTCATTAATCATTATCAAAACTTTTAGCTGGGGACGTCATCATACATTACGTTATTGATAACTTCTGAATGTTGATACTGTACTAATAGAGATTAGGATTATCAATACTAAATTGGTAATTCACTGCCCCAAAATGCTTACATTTGTTAAGATCTCTCAGATTAAGATGGACAATAAGAAAATAGAAAATTCAAATATGAACATTTAATGGCCCAGCCTCGTTCTTATTTACCATAAGATGATTACCTGCAGTTATAGATAAAAATGCACACAGACAGAATAACCAATTTTGTTATTTATCAATATATCGTGTTATGTTTTAGTTGACATAGAGATACTAAATTTTCCAATCAATAACAATCCTATTTTTTCCCTTCCGGAAATATTTTTCAATCCTTTCGTTATTCGGACTGCTGACAAAAACAAGTCGGGGACCGCCACTGGGTATATAATCTGTTCTAAAGCCTTTGTGACTACCGGTCCTTTGCATCAACAAGCGACCATTAATATGTCACAGCCAGGACACGTACAACAGGACATGATTTTCCCAACTCAAACCCTACTTGTCAACCCGACTTCTAATAAAATTGGGAACCTATTGACGAAATGGAGCTAAGTCAGGCTAATGGTTTATTTGCACATTGATAAGCTATAGTAGATATTTCTAAACTGCCGTAGAGGTCAGCGCTGTTCACTACAGCTACTGGTGACCTCTCACGGCCACAAGTAGGTCAACAGGTGTGCTGTAATATGGAATGTGTGAGTTACATCCAGATGCTTGTCTACATCGAAGGTACCACTGATCTACGTAACAACACACCTGTGTACATACAGAAAGATTATTGCAGCTGAGATCACATTGAAGATGCTGTTCTACAAGCCCCGGACTTGACTTGCACAAGACTCTAAGGCAATAATTATAAGCTTACATCTTAAGTTCTAGATGATGTAAGTAAAAAGAACAAGTTGTCAATGTAAGAGACTGGAGTCCTTGTACTGTCCACATACCTAGACTTGCCTATCAGGAGGATTGAATTACTACACATCTACAATCTCATTAAAATCAGATCTTAGTTCTCGCTGCCGCTAAACAAAGATCTGAGGACATCCCATTACGGGTCACGTCAGACCTAAGATCTGATTTTAATGAGATTGTACACATCTATGGACTTTTCTTTCAGTACTTCTTCTTTCTTTTTTTTCGGGTTTTTTTTTTCTCTGATGGAGGACTATCATTACCTGAAATCACTAGACCGAACAGAATTATATAAGCTCTGGTTTAGGTCAAGCGGCCAAGTTGCTCCATACAATAGATATTTGTAAATGAAGAAAATCCTCAAAATTTAACAAATGCTGTTTTTTGAGCCATGAAACTTTTACATCCTGGGTATTTTGGTATTTCTTTTGTTTGAAACATTTGAAGTTAATTATATTTAACGGCCAACTTCACATATTGCACATGTAATATATTGCTGTTGCAAGTAGACGATAAGAGATCCAAGTTCATTGTGCTATATATAAAAGTATGGACATCACAAATCATGTTTGTTTGTTTGTTGTTTAACGCACTCAGCAATATTCCTTCTATATGATGGCGTTCTGCAAATAATCGAGTCTAGACCAGACAATCCAGTGATTGACAGCATAAACATTGATCCACGCAATTGGGATACGATGACATGTATCAACCAAGTCAGCGAGCCTGACCACCCGATCCTGTTCGTCACATTTTACGACAAGCATAGTCGCCTTTTACGGCAAGTATGGGTTGCTGAAGACCTATTCTACCCCGGAATCTTCACGGGACTCACAAATCATGTTCAAGAGCTTTCAGAAGCACATCCTAAACACTGTACATATTCATGGGAACACTGTCGCAACAAAACAGAAGATATTTATTATTTGCCTCCTCTTCAACACACAACTTGGGTCATGACAACCAACGACCTGAGGACATCCCTTGGTTGTTACAACTACAGACCACCAACCTGTGTCATGAAAACTACAGACCACCAACCTGTGTCATGACAACTACAGACCACCAACCTGTGTCATGACAACTACAGATGGCAGACTTGTGTCATGTCAACCCACGACCACCAACCTTGGTCGTTACAACTACAGACCATTGACCTGTGTCATGACAACTACAGACCACCAACCTGTGTCATGTCAACCTACGACCACCAACCTGTGTCATGTCAACCTACGACCACCAACCTGTGTCATGACAACTACTGATCATCGACCTGTGTCACGACAACTACAGACGGCAGATATGTGTCATGTCAACCCATGACAACAGGCCTTGGTTATGACAACTACAGACCATTGACTTGGGTCATGACGACTACAGACCACCGACATGGGTCATGATAACTACAGACCACCAACCTGGGTCATGACAACTACAGACCATTGACCTGGGTTGTGTCAGCCCACGACCACCGACCTGGGTCGTGTCAACTACAGACCATTGACCTGGGTCATGTCAGCCCACGACCACTGATCTTGGTTGTGTCCTTCCATGACAACAGACCTAGACAACAGACAACTATAGACCACCGACCTAGGTCATGTCAGCCCACAACCACTGACCTGGGTCATGACAACCCACAACCTCTGACCTGGGTCATGACAACTACAGACCAAAGTCATGACAACAGACCTAGGTCATGACAACTCACAACCACAGATATGGGTCATGACAACCCACAACCACTGACCCTTGGTCATGACAACTACAGACCACTGACCTGGGTCATGACATCTACAGACCAAAGTCATGACAACAGACCTAGGTCATGACAACCCACAACCATGGAACTGGGTCATGACAACCCACAACCACAGACCTGGGTCATGACAACCCACAACCACTGACCTGGGTCATGACAACCCACAACCACAGACCTGGGTCATGACAACCCACAACCACAGACCTGGGTCATGACAACTACAGACCAAAGCCATGGCAACAGACCTAGGTCATGACAACTCAGGACAACATGCATCCTGAGGCAACATTCAAGGAAGACAGATCTACTTGCATTTCCATTGCAAATTGATCAACCATGCATATTTTAATGGCTGTTTTCCATCTACAACCCAATTCATTTAGACACTGAAATGAATAAGCAATACACGGCAATATAATAATCTATAAGGAAACATATCAAATCCAGGGTTTCAAATACTTGTTCAACGTAAGAATAGCCATCAAACCAAACACAGTTCTTCTACTATTGAAACAAGTGGCATCACCTCCAGTACTTGACTTGCATGCTGCATACCATCCCAATTACAGCCTGGGACACCTAGTTACATTGCACTCAGACTTCCCTATCTTTGTGACCGCCTCCGTGGTCTAGTGGTAGAGCGTCCGCCCGGAGAGCGGAAGGTCCGGGGTTTGATCCCCGACCGCGTCATACCAAAATACGTTAAAAGCTGGTACTTGTTGTTACCCTGTCTGGCGCTCGGCATTAAGGGGCTAAAACAAGGACTGGTCGGCTCGGAGTCAGTATACTGTGTCTGAGTGGGATATTCATGTTAAACTGCGGCATGGTATCTCAGTGTGCTAGCACTATAAATCGGCATCAGTCCGGACTAGTACAAGCAGCCACACACACGTACATGCACGTCGCTATATAAGTGCAATAATCTTGGACGCGACGTTAAACCCCATTTCACCTCACATCACCCCCTATCTTTGTACTCAGGAAAACATGCTTACCAGCTCGTTTGACTAAATGTGCTGAGGCTGCAATTTTGAAATTAGATCTATGCAAAAGACTTGCTGAGAAGAATCATTTTGTTTGTTTGTGAAGAATAGATCATCAGCAACCCATGCTTGCTGTAAAAGGCAACAATGCTTGTCGCAAGAGGCGGTTGGTCAGACTCGCTGACTTGGTAGATGCATGTCATCGTGTCCCAATTGCGTGGATCGATGCTCATGATGTCAATCACTCAGACACAATTATTTACAGACCGCTGTCATACAGCTGGAAAATTGCTGTGTGCGGTGTTAAACAACAAACAAACATATATAAATAAATAAAGACTAGAGATATCTGTAGGGGTGTCCTTCAGCGCTAATCGCTATTTGGGATACAACATGTTCAACCTGCCCACTAGCCCGAGTCTACAAAATTGTGCTTAAGACAAGTAACAATCTTATGATGCAAGTCCTCACTGACTATAAGCATTTGAGGGCTATAATTCTGAACCAGTTCTCAATGTTTCAATTTTGCCCCAATGTGAAAATCAATTGAAAGGCTGATGTAAAATGTCTTAGGAGGGGTTGCGCCCCCAGCTGGTTTGTGGGACTGGGTGAAGAGAGAGTAAAGTGACACCTACTTTACTGACCAGTTCATTGATGGAAGCATCTGCAGCGTGGTTCTGGATCTGGAAGCGCTCGACTTGGAATGTGGCAGTTTCGTCTTCATTGTCATGATATTGATAGTCGAGATCTTTCGATGAAATATGTGTGTACTCCCTGGAAAAAATGCTGACAAATAAATACATTATAGCCAGCGTTTGGTGTGTACATAAAATATATCAGTGAAGACAAGTGACAAATCAAAGAATGAATAGATGTTCCAAACTTTCCAAACCAAAGTCTTAGTGGGTGAAAAACACACACTGCACACCAATCTCAGTCTCTGTTCATGGAGGGTCAGATCTCAATTACTTAATAGCAAAAAAAAATTATTTGTTCTTTTTGTATTATTGAATTTTGAAAAATAAACTTTTTGGTGAAAAAAGAGTTGTTATTGTTGTATTTCTTAAGGCTCCTGTTGATCTCAAGTAGAAGAAAATAATTTGATCGAGTCATCAATTGTGTTAGTCATATGATTAATGGGCCTAGGTAACCTTAGGTAACATGAGGATGTTTATGTAACATTTTGTGTTTGTTACCCAATGCCGAACTTGTAGTGATCTAATCATATCCCAGTGAACTGTAAATAATCATTTTTATTTGTTTGTTGTTTTACGCCTCACTCAGCAATATTTCAGCTATATGACAGCGGTCTGTAAATAATTGAGTCTGGACCAGACAACCCAGTGATTGATATCATGAGCACCGATCCATGCAATTGGGATACAATGACAAGTTGTGGCCAGACAAACAAGTGACTGAGGAACATTAATCCAAACCGTCAGGTACAGTGACACACGCCATCAACCAAGTCAACCCATCCATCAAGTCGCCTCGTACAGCGGGCACAGGCTGCCGGGGACCATTTCCAACCCGGAATCCCCCCAGGGGAAACATGTTCTATCTGTCCATGGCATGCAGATGATGCCACTTTGGTTCATATTTCATTTTCCACACAAGTAATCACACTCAACTATCTGTTTTTCAATCTCGTATTGAGACATATAGTCTTGATTGGTTCCATATATAGGTTTGCTCACTGACATGAATGCTTCAGTGGACTGGCCAACACAAAGAAGGCTCGTTCATCTCAAGGTGTACTTACCCATTTTCTGTACATTCTCCTAACGTGTTCCATAAGTAATCAAATGTATCTTGTGACATGGGCGGGTTTGGCGGAGTGCTTGTTGCCGAGAGCTGCGACATGGGTACGACTATTTTACCATATCTGAAAATAAAATCAGTTTGTCAAAAACTTGATGGTTGAATAGATAGAAATGAACTAAAGGCTTTTATGAGTTTGAAATCCATGTAAAAAGCCAATGGTACGCTGAAACTCAGTAAAGTGTTTGGTATGGTTTAACGCCCCTTGGAACACTATTTCAGTTGTATCACATTGTATCATGTGGAAGAAAGCCTAAAGTGAAGCAGGTCTTAGACGTTTACCACTTTGTTGATACCCACAAGCATGATTAGGGTGCTGACCTAGAAAAATAATCAGGGTGGAACGGGTGCTGATCCAATGACCATAGTTTGCAGGCACGCTTGAGCGGTGAATTAGACGATTGGGCCACCTGTGTCACCTAACAGCATTGAGACTGAAGCCCACGACTATATAAATGTGAAATTAAACACTAAACATTTACTGCAACAAGTAGCTGCAAATAGGGTGATGAATTTCACATATTTCCTTATAAGGTGATGTAGTCTGATCGATGTCTGTTAATACGTGACCTAGAAATTTAATGTCTGAAAATCAGTCACTTCCTGTTTCGAGTCCTGTTACAGAGGGAAATGAAAACAATAGTTTCAACAGAAGGTGTAACAATAGAAATTAGCACTGTCCTGCGGGATGTTACCCGTAAACTCAGGGATTGTAGAATTTAGAACATCATTGAGTTGTTTTTGCACTCCAGTTTAGGACAGTAGACTTTCTTAAAAACCTTCCGATCAATCTACAGCAGTGCTGGCTCCTTCCATCACATCATTCACCCATAACCATAAACCTCAACTGTGAGCCCGGAGCCACAACCTAAATTAATGATTAGACTTTAAATCATTTTGATCCCATTAATCTAATGACAGGATCTCCCTTTGTTGACACCTGTGAAGGCTTAATTGGAATAATCCTTTACCATCTATTTGGAATACTACCTTGAGTACAGTTCAATACCTTAACACACACATGCACGCACAATGTATTAGCATATGCAATATAAATGAGCAATGCTTAACGTGCAACGCTTCGCCGCTGCTGAATCATATCACCATCTTAATTGTCGGGTTACTGGAGGATGTTTTAGATTGATCATTAGAGAACACCTCATGGATTTATTTAATCTATTTAAAAAACTGGAGAATCCTTAGTAATAAAATTTTGGGGAACCATTTCATGAACATAGAGGTGCCAGACTAGTGATCTTTGTCACAGTTCACTTAATTTCAAAGAATTTTATTGATGCTGAGGAGTCTTAAGCATGTCTTGTCGAAGGTGCATACTGACATGAAAACATAGTTGCACCAGACAATATGAGGTTGAATGAACCCGGTTCCCATAATTTATCGCTTGTTTCTGTCTTTCTTTGTTGTTTAACGCTGCACTCAGCAATATTCCAGCTATATGACGGAGGTCTGTAAATAATCAAGTCTGGACCATGCAATCCAGTGACTGACATCATGAGCATCAATCTACGCAACTGGGATACGATGACATGCGTATGACCACCCGATCCTTACGACAAGCATAGTGGCCTTTTACAGAACGCATGGCACACTGGCAAATCTCTGATGACAGACAAAGCTTAGGGGTATTGAGTGACAATGTGTGTGTTCAAAACATTGGACAAATAAGGGTTAGTCAGACAAAAGTGAATTTTTTACATGCACTTGGTGTATGTTTTATGCATACTAGTTTAATTGCACCCTATAAGCTAATATAAGATAGCTACATCATAAATTGCAAAAAAACAATGAAGAACGGAGCATGGTATATTTCACGATAAAACATTGTTCTATCATGACGATATTTCTGGAGATTTGAACATGAGCTCGTAACTTTATGGCGTTATTTTTTCGTGGGAAGTGTCTATTGAGCTGCTCCCCCAAAGATGTAGGTGGACATGGCAGATGAATGCAATGGACGAACAATCACACCCAAATGTAGGAGAAATGTGACAAACTGTAATGGGAGAAGAGGTGCAGATAATCAACTGAGAATACCAAACTTACACCCCCTGACATTACCGCGTTCGGATTGTTCGTATTGTACTCGGGGAGTCGTCATTATTTAAATATTCAAAGCTGGTACAATTTTTTTACATTTTTAAAAAGTCTGTACAAATGTCTCATATAAGAAAAAAATTACTTTTGGTCGTCGTTTATCATACAATAAAACAATGCAGGGAGAATAAACCATGAGGGGTGCAGCCAGCCCCTCATGATTTATTCTACCTGCAGTGTTTTATTGTACAATGAATAACTCCCACTCGTCGTTAATTTCTTGAATAATAGAAGTAATGAAAATCAAGCACTGACACCCTGAACATGCTTATTCAGCATGTCCAAGTAACATTAAGTGTAATTCTTACTAGAATACAAATATCAATAAAATGCAACATGCAATCTAGTAGTTTCATTAATTTAATGATTCAAACAGCCATGCACTTCTGCATCCAAATCATCTGCAACAATTATCATTTTGCATGCATGTAATACACAACAATGGATGATATCATTTTTTTAACTGTAAAGCTGATTTGATTCACAAGCCACATCAAAGTATATTATTACAGCTAAGAATAATTTACAAAAGCAAGTGAGCCAAATTAAGGTGTCCAAATTGTTTCATGTTTCTGATTAACAGAATTACATTAACAAGCATAAGCAAACTTAAATACATAGCTAGTTACATATAACACCAAGTGCCTGTAGAAGTTCAATTCAAGCAGGATAAACATAAGGGTTGAAACCATACATTGGTGCACTGGTGCCTCAAGGTGAGGTGAATTTGGGTTCAATGTCATGTCCAAGATTATTGCACTTATATAGTGATGTGCATGCATGCATGCGTGTTCGTATGTCTGCTTGTACTAGTCCGGACTGATGCTGATTTATAGTGCTAGCTTCCTGAAATACCATGCCGCAGTTTAACATGAATACCCCACTCAGATACAGTATACTGACTCCGAGCCTACCAGTCCTTGTTTTAGCCCCTTAATGTCGAGCAACAGACAGGGCAACACAAAGTACCATCTTTTAACGTCTTTTGGTATGATGCGCCCGGGGATCGAACCCCGGGCCTTCCACTCTCTGGGCGGCCACTCTACCACTAGACCACGGAGGTGGTCTGGTGCATCGCTAGTTCTCATGCAATGATATAATACACAATACATATTTTTTTTCTGTATTGATACAAGGCGATACACTTGTTAAAATGTATCACTACTCGTTTAATGACCCCCTAGTGTTTTTGTCAGTCAGTTATCGCAAAATGTGTTGCAATTCGTTTTTCAAGTTCACTTCTAACAAAAGCCTGCTGAACAAGAAATACTCTGAAATACTTATAGTCCAGAAGTTTCCAAGCACTTTGAGTGAGTGAGTATGGTTTTACGCCGCTTTTAGCAATATTCCAGCAATATCACGGCAGGGGACACCAGAAATGGGCTTCACACATTGTACCCATGTCGGGAATCGAACCCGGGCCTTCGGTGTGACGAGCGAAAGCTTCAACCACTAGGCTACCCGACCACCCCTCCAAGCACTTTGATGTGAATATGCTTATCACGACATGTATCATATCGTGACCTATGTATTGTGATATGGATCGTGTTCTTGATGTATTGTTTCACCCCAAATAAACATGTCTCTGTCTCAATTTCTCCCTTAAGAAGTATCTTTAGTTTTAGTGATCACCTAATCTGGATCAGATGTCGTTATGGACAGTAATACATGCCACCATTTCAAAGGTCACATGAAGAGGAAACCTTTGCCTTACACTGAGACTGAAAACACTTTCTCTATTACCTTCAGATAAAGAAGGGCATGTTATATTTATTGTTTGACAGGAATTTGCTGGACGACATAAAGACCGAAACATCACTTGTATTATTGTTATCCATAAACTTTTGTTTACCCTGTCATTTAATATCCATTTCATTTAGAACATAACGTTGAAAAAAGAGCTTGGGTGTTAACTTCAAACACCATCAAAGAATGTATTTGGACTTTGCATGTCCTTTATGGAGTTATTGTGTGTCACACCCTTACTCCATGCAATCATGTCACATGACAGAACTTACAATTTGATCTTTACAATGGCTGCTGAAATTTGTTTTATTTATTATCATGATTATGGCCAGTGGAAAAAGGATGGTTTACAGATATTTCACCTGTTCGTAAAGATTTACAAACCACATGACTTGCAACTTTGTATTCAGAATCAAGGAGGTAGAATTCTTTAATTGAAGATGTCAAGTTCATTTATTATTAGGCTATTATCTTCATAATCGTTTCAAAACATTAAATGTGTTACAGATTGAAAAATAATTATGATGATGACAACGACAATCAATGCTAAACAATAACAACCCTTGCATCTTCCAAATATTTCAACATCACCACCATATGGAATAATATCAATAACATGCAATTACAGCCATTTGGAATCTTTAACAATTTCCAAGTAATCATACCAGCAGCATCTTGTAGAGAAACAGGTTCTCATAGCTGTAAATAAACACTTGACAACATTATGCAGTCAAGTGTTGAATGCATAATCCCGCAGAAATAATCAACTTCAGTTCAAATACAAAGACATTCGCACCACCCCGATATTATGAACCTTGAAATTATTCAAGAGGTGGTTACATGTTCTAAAGCTGACAATATTCAGGAAGAAAGCTATGCCTGCACATACACACAGGAATGTAGGTCACCGCTTGTGCTTCATTCATAATCAGTAGTATACCTGGAAGAGGGTGGGTGTATTTAAGAATGCAGAGTTTGCAAACAGCCAAAACCAAGCTGCTTTTGATTGCAAAGGTTTGATTAATATTTGGTTAAATGAGAAATGCATGATGTTGAAAGAGATATCTACAATGCAGTGCTTGGAAGCATTATTGTAATAGCAACTTACACAGCTAGTGTTTCATCTGATCATTGCACATTGTGGGACTTATATTGTAATCTGTTTTTTATATCATTTTAGGCACATAAACTGGTCCTTATTGACTCAAGCCCTGGAAATAAAATAATACAATGAAATTCCCATACTATAATGTAGGAATGTGAAATATTTGCTCAAAATTGCAAAAATGGAACTTAAATAAAGTTGCTTGTAAATGAACAAATCCTAATAGATCAATGATCATACCTTAATATTCAAGAAACTGATGGATTATCCCCATATATAAATGCAGATTATTTTACTATAAATGTCTCACTGTCAATAACATCTTTGTCATTTGTCTACATGTTGTTGATTAAAATGATTCAATGAAACAATTTTTAATAAAATGTAAAACGATCCAAATTTCAATCATGTAAACAGCTAAATACCAATATGTTCATGTTAGGAATTCCAATACACTTAAAACATGCCAAAATGAGAAGATGTAATCAATAGAAAGGAATGCAATTGCCCAAGAATGATCAGAAAACATCGATGCGTGCAACACAAACACGTTAGTGTTCATATTAATTACTCAATATCTACACAATATATACATTTACGAGTACGTTTGCATTAAGTTTGGTGCAAGATTAGTTTGCAAAAATAGTCAACACAATCGTTTGAAAAATTTAACGGAGTTCCACTTTTTGCATTCTAGTGCATATTTTGTAAACATTGCATGCACGTGCTAACGTCAAACTATTACACATCCTACTCCGAACATTGTACCTTCTATAAAATATGTCACCAAGAGCAGTAACAGTTGATCATGCACGTTTCAAACTATATGTTCATGTGACAACAAATTCTATGGAAATCGCAAACATGACATCGGGAAATACATGGTGAAAATGGACGCCATGTTTAGTCAAATCTTTGAGGGTTTCCATCAAATAAATCGATCAACAGTGAACGATAAGTAAGAATACTTACGAAGATGTAGATTTGTTTGTGCAAGCTGTTTCTAAAAGTGCAATCACATCACACACGGTGAATGCCAATAGATCTCCAAATAATCGGTCAACAAGTTGTTCCTGAATTTACCGCTAGTCATTACCCACGTGCTGATCCAGTAATGCTTCCAATGCAAATAGTCTCGACAAATATTACTACGCCAATGTTTCCGTATTGGCTAACGGGAAATAACGCACCACAGCACATCGCATTGCTTTTGTGTGCATTGTTAGCTAATTGTTGTCTAAGCTTGTAATGTAATACCTTTTTAGTACAACAATACATATTCTAATTAACGAAACAATGGACTATTTACAACGCGGAGAAACAGGTGCGCGCAGTTAACAGGTCATTTAGGCCGTGCACGCTTTGGCCTTTTGTTCTAAGAGACGATGTTTTCACAACAAACGTGACTAATCTGTTAATCTCCTATGACAATTTAATTACGTTGTTTTAATAAAGTCACATTAATTTGCACTAACACGATTATCACCTTGTGATTCAGATCACAACGAGAGGTATTTTGGCGCCTTTTTCAAAATGGCGGCTCTCACATGTTGTCACTTGCAACACTTCGTTCGTCTGCATTGAAGAATATTCAGCGAAATCTGGTCTCCTGAGGACACTAGACATGAACTTTTCTGAGCTGTTTAGACAATCACATCATCTGTGCAAATTTTCGCCTGATGGCAAATACTTGGTAAGAAGAATACACTTTTTTTAAACTAAAACCTCGACTGTCAAGTCATGTTCTTGTAATTTCGTGATATCAACAAACATTTGCGCCCTCGGTTTATGTTCTTATTCAAAGTCATACTTGTCAGTATGCCAGAGAAACATGACCAACTTCACTTAGTTTTTACGTTTTCAAAGGAAACTGTTTTAATAATCAATGTAGTCGACAGCCCAGCGACTGTGTGCATCTTTTGAAAGTTCCAACCATTAGATCTATTTGTATCAATTTGGATTAAAGCCACAAAATAAACACAGTAACTTTACTTTGTAAATTTTCATGGTAAAAGTAGATTCAATCTAGTACAAATCATTCTGTTGTAGAAACCGCTGTAAAATTTAACATTGTCTGCAGAAATTGAAACTTGAATTCCCCCCCCCCCCCCCCCCCCCCCTCTATCTTTGTCAAGTTTTGTTTATCTCTGTGAGAAAACCGTTTAATACATACTGCTTGGTAAAGTGTTCACATTTTACATACATCACATATTACAAATGTGTTAAGTTGAAAGTAGTTTGAATCGTTAATTTTGCAATTGTTTTCAAAGGGCAATAACTCTTGTTTCATTGCAGGCATCAGCCACAGACTACAGGCTCGTGATTCGAGATGTTGAAACATTGCAAATACAACATCTGTATTCCTGTCTTGATGGCATCCAGTGCATTGAGGTACAGCAAGGATATTTCATAGATAATAATTAATATTTATACTTTCTTACTTTATTATTATAATACACTCTTCCTCAGATTATTACTGAAATTGCTTTTTATATTTTCAGTGGTCAGCTGATTCTGATTTCATCCTCTGTGGAATGTTTAAGAGAGGCATTGTGCAGGTATGCAACATTTATGTCACATTTTATATTTTCCCTGTCTCTTTGTTGTTTAACGCCACACTCAGCAGTATTTCATCTATATGACGGCTGTCTGTAAATAATCAAATCTCGACCAAAGAATGCAGTGAGTGACATCATGAACATCAATCTCCGCATTTGGGATACAATGACATACATCAACCAGTCAGCAAGCCTGACCACCCAATCCCGTTAGTTGCCTTTTATGACAAGCATGGGTTGCTGAAGACCTATTCTAATCCGGATTCCTGTCTGTACTGCAGGAGGCATGTACATAGATAATTATGTACAATGATGTTCAGATCTTTTGATTATGTGAAAAGCTTCATCCAAAAAAGTACCTAAACACACTCATAGTTAATATGCAGTCACTCAGGCAAATCAAGAATGCTATGAAGAAAATCAAATTATGACATGACAAAGACAGGTATTTTTGGTGGAATATAAACAAAATAATAGTTACCAATTATAATCAATGATACTTTTTGTTACCCTGGTCGGCTCGGAGCAAGTATACTGTGTCTGAGTTAGGGTATTCATGTTAAACTGCGGCATGGTATCTCAGTGGGGTAGCACAATAAATCCAGCAGTAGTCAAGACAAGTAAAAGCATCCACGCACACATGCCGCTATATAAGTGCAATAATTTTGAATACAATGTTAACCCCGCAACACCTCACCATGTTTCAGGTATGGTCCATAGAACAGCCAGAATGGAACTGTAAGATTGATGAGGGCTCGGCAGGGCTGAGTGCTGTACGATGGAGCCCTGATGGTCGACATATCCTCACAACAGCTGATTTTAATGTGAGTAAATATAGTCGAACAACTCTATAAAGGCTTTTGGCAACCCCATCCTTGATATACTTTCTATAGCCTGTGGAAAGTACTGCCATGTAATTTTGGCCATCAGTGAGACAGTCCAGAATTTCGTTTGTTCAGTTTTCATATTTTGAATCGAGAACTTTGTAAAAATATTTATCAAAACATAATCTGGTATGTCTTAGTTTGAAACTAGTGCTGTAAAGCTTGAGAAAGTTGCTTTCTGATTGGTGACTTCCTGTTGGTAATTTCATTTGTCGGGCAAAGTTCGCTAAAGGCTGTTGTGATGTGAGCCGTATTGGGATGTCCTCAGATCTTTGGGTAGTGACAGCGAGCTCTAAGATTTGATTTTAATGTACATTAATCTGTCCACAATCATTTGTCGGTCTGGATAATTTCCTACCTCGCTACCTGACGTCATTAAACTGGGATGTGTCGCCTCAAAAGAGATATTTGTATGTCCTTCAGGCCAAGTCGTCTAAGGCGCTGCAATTTAATGTGCAGAGTTCTGTAGCTTAGGCACGCCAGAACAGGGAAACTTCCCTTTATCGGCTGTGATAGACACAGAGCTCCAGATAACTTTTAGAGCAATTGTGTTTTTACTCTAGGGTTTCTATTTTAATTTGCTTATTACATTTTTCATTGGGTAACCAAGATTTTTTCACTCATCTATTCATGACTCTATTTGGTATTTCCCCAAAAGAGTAAATATTTTAAGGTTTAAAAAAAAAAATGAAAAAATATTTTAGATGTACATCACCATGATAACTGTTCTAAATATATAGGCTTGACTTGGAAAGTAAACTATCTTGTAATTGTGTTTCGGAAATTAGCTCCTTTGTACGCATGCTGAAAAAGCTTCATTGGGTATTTATGCGTGCTGTTTTTATACATTTGAGTTTTTTATTTAAAGCATGCATTTCTGTAAGCAAGTTAATTGAAAGCAATTGGGTTTTGAATATTTTGGGGGGTATTTTACGCAAATACGCTGCTTAGCTGAGCTCTGTCAGAAGTCAGGTTATAGGTTCGAATTCCAGTTTGCCCCAATTATATTTCTAGGTTTTTCAGCACCATACCAGTGCCCGTGAGTTTCACCGAAATGGTAAACGTCTGAGACCTGCATCACTTTGGGCTTTCCTCCCACATTAGCTGACACACCAGGATATAACTGGAATACCGTTCAAAGCATTAAGCCCAACTCACTCTCACATGTTGAGAAACTGGTTGGAAATAATTGCCTGTTGCTGATCCAGCTGATCCGACAAACATTGTGTCCAAATTACCACACCTTTTTTTCTGCCCTGACTATGAACAACATTTATTTTAAGTTAAGCAATAAAGTTTATCATTAATTATTTTTTTCTCACATTATGAAACAGCTAGTTTAATTTAATAATGTAATACAAACTACTTTTCTAAGAGCAATGTGAATGTTAGAAGAAATCTGACAGACCAGTAAAGAATTCACTAAAATGATTGAAGTGTTTGATGCTGACCGAAATTTGTCAGTGACAGAACTCTAGATAAACCTTTGGTTATGTGGGTATTTTACCAAGGGTTTTCTATTTTGATTGGGTATCCACAATTTTTAGTGGGTGTTCAAATTGTTTTGTACGCATGTTTCTTTACATTTATGTATTTTAACTTAAAAAACTTGTTTCGTAACAATTCCTGTAAATCATTTCAATGCAAATGAATTGCAGTATACACATGTTTTACTGAATGTGACTGTCGGTAAATGAATTTTGCAATGGCTGATATGCAGTTGTTACATCTGACAGTTGGAATGTACCCATTAGGTTTAGTTCTTGCATTTTTTGTTGAATTTTTTATATGCCAGGGATTTGATGTTACTGTGTATTTCGGTTTATTTAATGCATATTTTACGCAAAAACACAGCTCATCTACAGCTCTGGTCAGTGGTCAAAAGGACGTTGAAAACCTACTGGACCTGTTGGGTGTCTAATGGACACAATGGTGATGACCAAAAGGTCCTTTAAATAGTATTACTCAGAGCTCCAGATAAGCTTTTGGTGTTGTGGGTTTTTTAGCCATGCATTTTAAAATTATTGGGTATCAGTAATTCTATCTGGGTATTCAAATTTCTGTTACCCACTAGTTTTTACACATATGGGTATTTAAGTTAAATATTTAAAAACACTATTCATCTAGTCCCTGCAAACTGGTGCCGTGTGGGTTCGAGAGCTTTATAGGACTCAAAAATACCACGATACTTCCACAAGAAAGTGTGATGGCAAATGATCCATATGTAACGGAATGCCCGTTTATAATTTCAAAATAAGTTGCTGATTTGCTAATCGAATATGCAGGGTTACCGGGTACTTCACAATATTTTGATAATATGCACAAGTTTTATTTTTGTAGCGTATCTGTAGTTTCATTGCTATTTGATACGCTTGGATTTTATTTTACTGCATATTTCTGCATATCTGATGTGTATTTCACGCAGATACGCAGCTTATCTGGAGCTCTGATTACTTTATTCTAGTTGTACAAGCTCAATGTTTGCCAAATGGCAGTACAAAACAACACGTTAATGCTGGTTAACTTCAGGGGATTGCTTGCTTTGCAACAGGTCAACTTTTCCCCTTTTCCCAGACAGTGTGTGTAACAAGACAAGTAGCTATAGAAACAAGTGATGGGTGTAATCAGTTTGAGAAACCAGTCCAGAAGAGAACCACTGCACCATGCAGGGTTGTTTATGGTGCTGGTGTTGTTTAGAGTTTACAGTCGAGCTATCAACCTTATAATCATAACATGTTGCAAAACCCTTATGAATGATAAATTTCTACTTGTCCTTATGATACCTTAACTATTGGGCAGTTTGGCAAGGACTACAGGACGACTGCCAATTTCTAACTCTGCAAAAGCTGTAAAATTAATCTACTTAATTGGTCCCCAAGACAACATTAGACCACCGAACCACCATTTATTTAATTTTACTGGTCATTAAGATCTACTAGACTCAGACTTGCTGACCAGTGTTAGCGCTGAACACTGTCAAGACTACTTTGAACATGTTGAATAAAATGAACTTCTTATATGAAAATGTTGTTTGTGAAAAGGACATACCTTAAAATATACCAGAAAGATGAAATCTATCACAGCCTTGTTCTTTCATACACCTGAAAGGTTTTTCTCGATGAAATACAACTGCTAAGCTGTGTGAAGTAGATTCTAATGGCCCTATGAACCAACTACTTTCACAGCAGTGTAAATAGCTCGGGAAATGCATTGTTGCATTCCAGCATGAACATGTTTTTTTATAAGTTTTCATTTCCTTAGAATAGTTTCTGTTACCTTAAATCTTCAAATATAATCTTGTACACGTGAAAAGTAATATTTTTATTTCAAAAGAAACCAATACAATTTCAGCATTTGATTGGAAGAGAGGGGCAGGATAGTCAAGTGGTTAAGGCATTTGCTCATCTCGCCAAAGGCTCGGGTTCGATTCCTTACATGGTGCAATATGTTAAGCTCATTTTTGTGTACTTCTGATGTTGTATGGCTGGATAATTGCTAAAAGTGGCATAAAACCATACTCACTCACTCTATCACTCCATCGACTGCTCCAGTGGTCTGGTGGATAGAGTGTATGCCCAGAGAGTAGAAGGTCATTCGTCAATCCTCTTGTCACATCATACCATAAACCATTTTAGAATGTGGTACTTGTTGTTACCCTGCCTGGTGCTTGGCATTAAGGGGATAAATCAAGGAATAGTCAGCCTTGAGTTAATATACTGTGTCTGAGTGGGGTATCCATGTTAAGCTGCGGGCGGCAGTGGTCTAGTGGTCTCAGTGGTCTAGCACAATAAAATCATAACAGTCCAGACTAGTACAAACATGTTAAACCCCATTTTACATCATGTCAATCTGTCAGTACGGGGAATAGAACTGCAGTTTCTCAATGGAATTGACAAGACATAAAGTGAATGGTCATATATTTGGAGATAGGATTTTTCTTTCTATTTCTGCTTCTCCATATTGGTCTTTGAAGATTTAAAGTTCTAAAGTTGCGTCTGATTAATTCAAGGTTTCAGTCAACTTTGTGACCAGTGCAAAAATCAACCTTGTTTCGAAATTTACATAAATCTGCTTGTCTGAAACTAGTGAAATTAATGAAGGGCTAGTGACATTTCCTTGTGGACTACCTCCTTGCAGAGTTTCCACTGGACAGATTTTCCCCTCTGTAAAACATCATTGTAAAAGACAAATGAAAAAGAAAATGTAAAAAAATCCTGTCCAAAGACTACAGATTATGAAGGGATCACATTTTGAGAGTGGTATGGTAATGTAAAACATGTGGGACGCCATTTAGCCTATGACATGTAATAGGTAGTAAACATGGTGAGGGCCTGGTATTATAACAGTGCCCCGCCCCGCCCCCTTTTCTGGGAATCTGTGTCGCTCTTGCCCCTTTCCAGGGAAAGCTCCTTTAATAACCTCGATGGCTTGCAGCGCCCTGTGACACTGGGGTGGCTTGACAGAGACATCCCAGCATATTATCGAACTATGAATTACCCGGATATGTGTATTGATATGATTGTCACAGTTATGAATGATATTGTGATTTATTGAATCTTTTTAAAGGGGATAGTCAGTGTAATTTCACCTTTGTTGAGGCTTTATAAAAAGTAAAAACTTGTTTGGGGGATTAGTGTCAGTTGAAGTTTTTGTAGACTTATCAATATCTTACCTAGTCCTAGATTGTTCTGTTGCTGAGTGTTGGTTTGTTGGACTGCAGTTTAGTTACACAGGTTTCTACATATACAGACTCTGTTGATTTTTTGTTGTGAAGATTACTGAATTCAGTGAATTTAATAGCATGTGCAAACAAACCTGTTATTCTCTGAATAAGTATGACACAACGTGATAAGTATGCAAGTGTTATTTTTCGTTTAGAAATTAAGCATTTAAAATAGTATGGTTAGAAATTTATTTTCAGTTTCTGTAGTCAGCAGAAATATGGTGCAGAGTGTGCAGCTAGTAAAAGTGGAAGTCCACTGGGAAATGTCACCAGTCCTTTCTGAATTTAATAGTCTTGGACCAGCAGTCTCACATTAATTTAGTGTTGTTACTTATTGTCATGACCCAAACAGTATAAACCTTTGGGGTCCCCTTGGTTCATAGGCAGCCCACCTCCATCCAGTGTACGACAATACCCAGAGCTCCAGATAAGCTTTTGGTGTTGTGGGTATTTTACCCATGCATTTTAAAATCGTTGGGTATCAGTAATTTTATCTGGGTATTCAAATTTCTGTTACCCACTAGTTTTTACACATTTAAAAACACTATTCATCTTATTTAAAAAGTGTGATGGCAAATGATCATGATGTAACTGTCATCGTGGAGTCTGGCAAGGTTGACGGAATGCCCGTTTATAATTCAAAATAAGTTGCTGATTTGCTAATCAATTACGCAGGGTTACTTCATAATATTTTGATGATACGCACAAGTTTTATTTTTGTAGCGTATCTGTAATGTTCGTTGCGTATTTAATACGCTTGGATTTTATTATACTGTGTATTTCTGCATTTCTGATGCGTATTTTACGCAGATACGCAGCCTATCTGGAGCTCTGATACCCCAAACACACACACACCTTTATTTCTAGCACTGGTTAGGATGATAATCATGCATTTTGACTTAAGTTCTGGGGAGACTATTGGAGGCCAGGTAATGCAGATCCCACAGGGATGTTCAACTTCTGATTTAGATGATGAAATGGTGTGCTTTTTATATGTCAAACACCCTCCTCCATAAAAATTCTTTATATATCTTGTTGTTTTTATCAGAAGTTGAGACTCCTGTGTCGTTAGTACACACTGCCATGTAGCGTGATGCCATCGTGTTTGAGTTCTGTCCCCGGCATGATACTACATCCAACAGTTAAAGCTTACACAGAAGCGTTGTGTTTCAAAGTCAGTTTGAGATCGATGGCTTTACTATCAAAATATGCTGTTGTATGTAGAATACTGATTTAAATCGATGTCCTCATGATCAGCTGGGTTCTTTGTGGCAATGCAATATATCAGAGTTTCAGATAACTTTTTGAAAAATTGAGTTTTTACTCGAAGGTTTCTATTTTAAGTGGGTTATTACATTTTTCATTGGGTAACCAATATTTTTTCACTTGTCTATTCATCACTCTATTGGGTTTTTCCAAAAATATGTAAACAATTTGAGATTTAAAAAAAAATAAAATGGTGTTTTAGATGTATATAATGGTTCTAACTATTGGCTTGACTCAGAAAGTAAATTAGCTCGTAATTGTGTTTCAGAAATTAGCTCTTTTGTAAATATGCTGAAAAAGATTCATTGAGTATTTACGTGTGGTGTTATTATAATTTGAGTTTTTGATTTAATGCATGAAACATTTTTTAGGGGTATTTTACGCATATACACAGCTTATCTGTAGCTCTGAATATATTGATGTGCACATTGATTTCAAAGTTCAGGGTATACATTTCCCAACTGATATCAGAAATACGATCCACAGACCAACCAAATTAAAGAAACCTTTAAGGAGTAAAAATAACATTGTTCAAAGATGCCTGGTTTGCAAGTGTCCCACAATTGCCAAGATCACTGATTATTTTTTATAGCGTATCGCGTATCAGTAGCTTGTACCAGGATGTATGTCAGCAATATCTGGTCATTAGTTAAGTTTGTTTAATGCTGCAGTATTCGGTAGCCTCAAATCGATCATGTCTGGACCAGACAAACTAGTGGTTGATATTATGAGCATCTTCCAATGCTACAATGTACGATGACATTTGTACGATTGTCATATTGATTGTTCTGATGCTGATTTTATCATGATTAAAAGCATCTTGGAATGTTAGAAATTATTTGCATACCAGACCCAAATCAACTAAGCTTTGCTTTGCTTTGTTTTGTAGCTTCGAATCACAGTCTGGTCTCTCGTTACCAAGTCTGTGTCCTACATCCGATATCCAAAGCAATGTGAAAAAGGTAGGTTCATATTTTCATGGGAGAGAAGTCTGTAATGCCTTATTCATTTATTTTATTTCCCACCTCCCAACCATCAAAACTATCTGACTTTGCTGTGAGTACCGGCAAACATAAACTCTAGTGTCGTCTGTGGGCCACATTGTTTTTACTTGTTTAACGAATGTTACCTGTCGGTAGGTGGGGAAAACAAAATGCAATTCATATTTTTCCTCCACTACCGGTCGGATGGTATAAAAATATAAATACGGTTTAATGTGGGAGAGCCTGCAACACAGCCATGCAAACCTGACGAATCAAGCGGGAACATTGTTGTGCATCTTTGCATCCTATCAATTTGAGGAACAACAACAACAAATTTTATTTTGTTTCCCATGTCTATTATTTGTCAACTTCAGTGGGTTTTGTTTAGGAAATGTTTTTTGGGTGCAATATGCTATCAGCTTCTTGGTGGGATGAAAAAAAGAGCAAATTCAGATTTATACTATTTTTCCATTTCAACAAAAATAGCCTTGGGGATCCATCAAGTAAGTTAAAAAGATGGCCTAACCTGTATCAGGGTTGTGTATGACTACACCTGTAAAACACCTGCAGTACTCCTGGCCCTTAGGATACTTGCAACATGAGACCTACCTATCTCAGTAAAATCAGATCTTAGTTCTCGCTACCGCTAAACAAAGATCTGAGGACATCCCATTAGGAGTCACTTCAGAACGACCTTTCATCCCACCAATCAGAGCATCGCTTACCAGATTATGAAAGTGACAGTCGGAATGTGATTTCTAATCATGCAACCCCCAAAACGTTAACTCCGAACGATAGTTACGGGTCCATACAATCTAGACCATCTATTAGCCATTCCAGAATGTTCTTTTGTTCAGGTTTCAAATTTGTAATTGAGAATTTGTCAAAATATGTTTCAAAGCGTCGTCGCCAATTTGAAATTAGTGACGTAAAGCATGAGAAAGCTGCCTTCTGATTGGTCATTCCAATGGTCGGCCAAAAAGGTCGGTCTGACTTGACCTATAATGGGAGGTCCTCAGATCTTTGTTTAGCGGTAGCGAGCACTAAGATCTGATTTTAATGAGATTGGAGACCTACTGCCTGGGTGTGGCAGCTCATGACGAGGTACCTCCTTGAGTAAGTGTCAGTTTAATGTATGTTTCAGGCATTGACTTCAGCTCTGGTGGGAAGTACATGGCCCTGGCCGAGAGACGAGACTGCAAGGACTACGTCAGCATCTTTGCCTGTAGCACCTGGGAGCTGGTCAAGGTAAGCTTTACACCATGTATAATGTAACTTAGTCATATTTCATCAATTTTCCCTGAAAAATGAGGAAGGGGTACTTTTATTTTTTATTTCTCTCAAAGGACATGATGACTTAATGACATGCATTTATGGAAACACAACCTGCACAATCAAGTCACGACTATGGTGAGGTGAGGTGAGGTGAGGTGAGGTGGGAGGTTTTGATTTGAATTGGCAGGGATGGTTGTCTAATGATGGATTTATGTTGGTATACACAGACATAATTAAGGCCAAACATGATGAAAGCTGATAGATTGTGGGATCTGTATGTTATCCATGGTTATTAAAAAGAGGATGGTGACATACTTTCAGTTAACAACCAGGGTAACGGAATAACAGATATTTTCAAATACAGGATTCCAAACCAAGTGCCCCAGACAGGCAAATCGGGAACAAATCATTGTTTTGTTTAAATTGCCTTTTTTCTTAAGTTCTTGTTTTCTTAAATTCAGGTATATTTTAATACTGTATATTGAGATTGTATACAATGCTTAGGGCAGGGACAAGTCCAGATTTACTAACCGGTTACCCCGACCCCCAATTACCTGACCCCACCCCTATTACCTGACCCCACCCAGATACCCCATCCCCTATTACCTGACCCCATCCCACCCCCTACTACCTGACCCTACCCAGGTATCCCACCCCTTATTACCTGACCCTAACCGGGTACCCCACCCCTATTACCTGACCCTTCCCCGCATACCCCACCCCCTATTACCTGACCCTTCCCGCGTACCCCACTCCCTATAACCTAACACTATCCGGGAACCCCACCCTTTATTACCAGACCCTACCCAGGTATCCCACCCCCTATTACCTGACCCTACCAGGGTACCCCACCCTTTATTACCAGACCCTACCCAGGTATCCCACCCCCTATTACCTGACCCTACCCGGGTACCCCACCCACTATTACCTGACCCTTCCCGGGTACCCCACCCCCTATTACCTGACCCTACCCGGGTACCCCACCCCCTATTACCTGACCCTACCAGGGTACCCCACCCCCTATTACCTGACCTTACCCAGGTATCCCACCCCCTATTACCTGCCACTATCCTGGTACCCCACCCGCTATTACTTGACCCTACATGGGTACCCCACCCCTATTACCTGACCCTACCCAGATCCCCCACCCCCTATCACCTGACCCTACCCAGGTACCCCACTCCCTATTACCTCACCCTATTGGGTACCTGCTGTAGGTGTCAAAAGATGGGTACAGATTGTCTGATTTAGCAGTTGTTATATATAACATCAAAGTTCTCAGATAAAATAATTTCAAAGATATTACCATTTGAGACTTGATATGCTGTTTAACATACAAACAGTGATACTTCTTAGAGCTGAATATTGCTTTCTCAAAAGCATTTCATGGAATTCATCTTCAATAAAAGATCGACCATTTTCTACAATACAATGTTTTCATAATGGTTTACTCAATGTATCATCTGTATGGGTTGCAGCATTTTGATACGGACACAGAAGATCTGGCGGGGCTGAAGTGGTCCCCAGATGGGCGGGTCCTGGGAGTGTGGGAGTCACCAGTCAATGTAAGTATGAGGACAGTGGTCTCGTTATAATCTGTTACTCTATGATACATCTCTCTGGAAGACCTGACGACCTCACAGAAGGTCGTTTCAGGTGAACTGTCTAATCAGAAAGTCAGTATCAAAGCTTCCAAATACTTGGTATGAATGAGGACTTCAGAGCAGCTCATCTGATGTCTTTGTTTCAAAAATGAAATGGAAAGGTCAGTTCTGAATGTAAATAATATAGAATGGGATATTATGTTGTTGTGGATATTTTACAAACCCTCTCATTTCTGAATGCACCCTGTCAGGAAAGAACTGTAGAAGTAGTGTTTGTTGAGTTTTCTTTTGTTAAAAGGGGCGGTTGGGTAGCCTAGTGGTGAAAGGTGCAGAAGACCCAGGTTCGATTCCCGACATGGGTACAATGTGTGGAGCCCATTTCTGGTGTCCCAGTCGCGATATTCCTGGAATATTGCTGAAAGCGACGTAAAACCAGACTCTATCCTCTTTTGTTAAGGTGAAAATTTTCAAATTGAGGTGGTTATGAAATGAAGCTGACTACTCAAAAACCCACACATTGTTAACAGTGTAACAGGGCGGTCATTGTTAGCTCAGGGTTCAGCTGACACAGCTTTCTCTAGGGGGATGTGGTGGCTGATCTAAGTATTGACATTGCATAGAAAACATGCCCACCTCAGATATTTACATTCTAAATTTCACTTTGCCACCCTATTACAAATTTAAGTTAAGTCGCCGTAAGGGTAGTGTGTCTGCCTGCCCCTTATAGTAGGTCAGTGTTCAAATCCATGCATAGACAGTCTCCCCAAAACGTGGGTAAAAGCCAAGTGGATAGTGTGTTTACCTGCGACACAATAAGTCTTGGTTCAAGACCCTGCATAGACACCGAGCTAAGCTTAGCTAATCAGATGTTTTGTCCTAATATGTTGGATTTCTAAATCTTCCCTATTGGGCTTAAATAATGCTGATGGGAGGTTAAATTTTAACTTAAAGGTTTACGAAAGTGGTCTTACCAATTTTCAGACCCGTGAGTATCTGGGTAGAGAATAGGTCTTCAGCAACCCATGATTGCCATAAGAGAAGATTAGCAGGATTGATTGGTCAGGCTCGCTGACTTGGTTGATGCATGTCATCATATCCCAATTGCATGGATCGATGCTCATGTTAATCACTGGATTGTCTGGTTCAGACTCAATTATTTACAGACCACCGTCAAACAGCTTGAATATTGCTGAGTGCAGTGTTATACAACAAACAAACCAATCTTCAACAGGAGTTTTGATAATCTTGTTCTCAAAGTGAGACAACACAATTTTTACATCAAATTCTTGAACTCTGACCCTTCTCTGTGATGTAGGACAAATCAACATCGTTACATGTTTTAAAGTCAAGAAATTACAGAACTTATGTTTAAAACATAAGGTTTGGTGTTACGTTAGAGTGCTTACTTTCACCATGGAAAGTATCTTGCTAGTCATTAGGACAGGGGACTATGACACTTAAGGCATGAGGCCACGGAGGTGTTGCTAATCAATGGGAGTTACAGGCAGTGTTAGGCTCTGACCCAGTTTCCTGGAGCTAACATGCAGCATGTATTAAGTCATGCTGGCAATGTATAGACATGATGTGATTACCTAGTGTTAGATACCCCTAGGGGTGGGGGGCGGGGGGTGGGGGGCAAGGGGTGTTTTCTGTGACATCTAATCACTGCCCCAGTGGGATGGCTGATTGTTGGGGAATACTTGCCCAGAATTTCAGAATCACTGACACATGAAAGCTGTTCCGCTTGAATATGTATTGATGATATATTTCTCTAACCAGCTTTAGTCCAAGCAACTTTTCAAGAAGCACTGCCTGTTGGTGTATTGGAATTAGCAATGTATTGTATACCACCATGGATTGTTAATTTGTGATAGGAATTTGTTAATTATGATATAGATATTAATGCTCATTTAATCGCTAACAGAACAATTTAATTGTTTCAAAACCTTTTTATGGTTTGAGCGGATCCATTTGGTTCCAGACAGAAACATCTGTGAGTCTTTTTAAATGGCATCATTTTCATTAATTTAAAAAAATAAATAAAATATTTAATTGTAAAATGTAATGCAGTGATCACTCATGATGTGCAAATTTTCAAAGTGTCAAACAGTTAATGTCAAAGGACAAGTTACACGATTGCTGATGTTAGCTGAAATCCCAGGCTAGTGGAACACGGATAAAAATTTTAAACACAAACGCCTGAGGCAGTTTCCTGGAGAATATAATATCAAAGAGGAAAGTTATTTCAGATCTGTGTTACTTCCATTCACATTTTCTGAGTAGGGGTGAAGTGTCACACGTCTCTCATCGAGGGATCTAAGGATTTATTGCCCTCCTTAACGTATGCATTTGACTTTAATGAACCAGATATAAACTTCAGTTTCCTGCTCTCAACATTGTAACTGATATAACACGACTTGCAGAGTGTTTGGACTTGTAATAGGTTGTGTCATTATTAAACTGTGCGTGAAGAAAACACAAGTGATATTTGGATGACTGTGAGATTCTTAACTTATTTCAGTCATGGTATTGATCTGAAAAGTCAAATATTTTGCATTTTTACGTAACTTGATCCAAGATTATGTAATTTAGGGTAAATGACTTCCCTCAGGCATTGTTTTTTTGTTGTGACGTGAAATATATCTTGTAGCGATTCTCAGTGCAGAGCTCCAGGTACAGGAAACTCCAGTTATAACCAACTCAAAGGGGTCATAAATTTTAGTTTTTCATAATCGTAGTTCGTTACCAGCATATATACAGCATATATACAGCAAATGGCCGGGACCAAAAATAAGTTTGTTATAGACATATTTTGAGCCATCTAGTATTGACTGACATGTTATCCTTCACCTGGGGGATTCAATAGAGTTTTACTCCAGTGGGGCAAGGCCATTGGGTAGTTTTAAAATGAGTGAACTTTTTATAAACATATTTCTTCTAACAATGATGTTCCACTTCATGAGATGCTCTAAGTGTGTCACATGTCTGCGCACGACATAGATCGGTATCTCAGTTGTTCTGACCGCCTCCGTGGTCTTGTGGTAGAGCGTCCGCCCGGAGAGCGGAAGGTCCAGGGTTCGATCCCGGGCCGCGTCATACAAAAAGACGTTAAAAGATTGTACTTGTTGTTACCCTGTCTGGCGCTCGGCATTAAGGGGCTAAAACAAGGACTGGTCGGCTCGGAGTCAGTATACTGTGTCTGAGTGGGGTATTCATGTTAAACTGCGGCATGGTATCTCAGTGAGCTAGCACTATAAATCGGCATCAGTCCGGACTAGTACAAGCAGCCACACACACACATACACGTGCATGCACGTCGCTATATAAGTGCAATAATCTTGGACGCGACGTTAAACCCAATTTCACCTCACCTCACCTCAGTTGTTCTTGCTCTTGTTTGTATTATTCACAGCCAGAGAGGTCATATGTATAGAGGTGATGCCGACACAGGCTCTTGTTTTGGAAGAAAGAATTTGTAAGCAAGCAACTTGATTGGGTTATGGTGAATAATTGTGCACACATTATGCAAATACACAGCTTAGCAGGAGCTCTGTGGATGGTTGTGTTATCGTACCTATGGTGGTGTATTTGCCATGTGGATGTTCTGGGTTAGATTTGCTCCCCAGCAACATATAAATGTTGTAAGAAGTGCCTATTAGGTTTGTTTGTTTTCTTGTTTAACGCCACACTGAGCAATATTCCAGCTACAGTCAAGTCCCGTTAATCCGACATCGATGGTTGCATATGATTAACGAGTATGTCTGATAAACGAAATTAAGTAGTATCAATGTTTGTGATCGAAAATCGGACAACTAAACGATAGATAACGATTCAAACACATAATAAAATAATATAAAATAAATATTCATATTGTTATGTTACATTGTTGGTGGAATATGTTTTCTAATCATGCTACCTCTAAAGTTTAACACAAAACAACTGTTATGGACTGTATGACTTATTCAAAATACGTTAAAACGCAAAGTCTGGAAACTGGTACTGCAAAGCTTATGAAAGCTGCTTTCTAAGTGGCTAACGTTGACTTCCTGTTAATCATTCCATTGGTAGGTTATAGTTTGCGAAAGGTTGTTCTGACGTGACCTTGCCGATAGCGAGAACTTGTATCTGATTTTAATGAGATTGAGGTAATCTAAGCATACGATTAATCCTGTTTTCTTTATTTAAAGCATTTATTGTTAAGCAAGTTTATCTCTGTAGCCATTGTTATATGCAGCTACATCCAATTTGTCTCACATCAAAACAAACTCGCAGGCAGATGACCACAGAGTACACTGATCACTGTGTCGGATTATCGAGACTGATTAATGAGTGATTTCTGTTATTTGTTGCAAATTAGGTGTGTCGGAGTCGGAGTGCGAGACTGTCGGATTAACGGGTCTAAATAGCACAGATTTAATCGGTTCCCATCATTAGTGTCGGATAAAGCTGATTGTCGAATTAACGAGTGTCGGATTAATGAGACTTCAGTGTATATGACGGCAGTCTGTAAATAATCGAGTCTGGACCAGACAATCCAATGATTAATATCATGAGCATCGATCCACACAATTGGGATCGATGACATGCATCAACCAAGTCAGCAGGTCTGACCACCCAATCCGGTTAGTCGCCTCTTACAACAAGCATAGTTGCCTTTTACCGCAAGCATTGGTTGCTGAAGACCTATTCTACCCTGGATCTTCACAGGTTGAGAATGACAGTCCATTGGCGAGTTGGTAGAATAATATGACAACAGAACAGTGTTCACATTGCATGAAAAAATAAACTTAATTCATATCTTAATCACAAATCAATTAAACTACAATGATCAGCTAATGTGTGGTGAATGATGTTAGATTGTAGTATAGTGAAACGGCTGACAGAGGGTCATTGTGACAAGACAAGCACTCAAGTCAACGTAAGATTCATCCCAAACTGGGAGGAAGACACTTGATACAATTCGCATAAATAATCTTTATAAAAAAAAAGAAAAGAAATTTTTTAAAATTTTTTTGTTACCAATCCAGGTGCACTTATTAGAAGTGATAAATGAAGCTGTGATAAATATGTCTGCAATAGAGTATCCCTTAATCCCCCATTGTTTAATGGATTGTCACGGCTCACTGACCCCCATACCTTAACAGTGGGGACTGGCAAAGTGGACACCCCCTCTACAACAGTGCAATACTGTAAGACTAGGCTGTCAAGCCTCTTCTGCTGAGGGTCCTGTCATAGGGATGAAGTTCAAGTCATCTTTACGAACCCAAGACAAACATTTGTTATTGATATATACAGAGCTCCAGATAAGCTTTTGGTGTTGTGGGTATTTTACCCATGCATTTTAAAATCATTGGGTATCAGTAATTCTATCTGGGTATTCAAATTTCTGTTACCCACTTGTTTTTACACATGTGGGTATTTAAGTTAAATATTTAAAAACACTATTCATCTAGTCCCTGCAAACTGGTATGGTGTGGGTTCGAGAGCTTTATAGGACTCAAAAATACCACGATACCTCCACAAGAAAGTGTGATTGCAAATGATCATGATGTAACTGTCATCGTGGAGTTTGGCAAGGTTGACGGAATGCCCGTTTATAATTTCAAAATAAGTTGCTGATTTGCTAATCGAATACGCAGGGTAACTTAACACTATTTTGATGAAACGCAAAAGTTTTATTTTTGTAGCGTATCTGTAATATTTGTTGTGTATTTGATATCCTTGGATTTTATTTTACTGTGTATTTCTGCAGTTTTTATGCGTATTTCACGCAGATACGCAGCTTATCTGGAGCTCTGTATATAACATGGATTGTGAAATGTTTATTGCCAGTTATTGGTCTTTGAGCAGGTCTAGGTTACACACCCCTCACAAGATAGAACTCCCCTTATCCTGTAATGAACTTGTGTAGCTAATGGATGGCATGAAATAACGAGATAGCAGTCAGGCTGTCAATCCAAGATTTGTTAATTACTTTGTCTGCGTCAGTTAGGTATGGCTGATGACTTGTGATTGGATTAGATAAGTATTAGGACGTCCTGCACAGAGTAGTGGAGGATCTCGTCTGTGTCAGACTAAGGTTTGGCTCAGCTGACAGCTGTTGGTTGGATTGCATAAGTATTTGGCAGTCATTTACAGATTTGTCGTTGACCTAATTTGAGATACCATGGGGGACACCAGCTAATTAGATTGTATTGCATGTCAAGGTAACGAGGTCATTAATGCCTGAACTAAGGGTGTCAGTTTTCTGGCACTGTTGGTAACCCCTGAAGATCCGGGGTTGAATAGGTCTTCAGCAACCCATGCTTGCCGTAAAAGGCGACTTTGCTTGTCGTAAAAGGCGACAAACGGGATTGGGTGGTCAGGCTCGCTGACTTGGTTGATGCATGTCATCGACTAATTGCGTGGATCGATGCTCATGATATTAAGCACTGGATTGTCTGGTCCAGACTCGATTATTTACAGACCGCCGTCATATAGCTGGAATATTGCTGAGTGCGGCGTTAAACATCAAACCAACCAACCAACGGCACTGTTGGTCTGTGAAATGGGAGGGTTCTTTTGTTGCCATGTGTAAAATATTGCAGCATTAAACCCTAGTCATGTGTGTAGTTAAACCCTAGTCATGTGTGTAGTAAAACCCTAGTCATGTGTGTAGTGCAGTGGAGGACGTGGTTTGGGGAACTCCCCTTCCCTGAGATGTGATACCCCCTGCATGCTATGTCCACATACCAACATACTCATGTGTGTACATACTCACAACCAATACCCCCAATACTGTATTCCCCAACGTGACATACCGCCAATACTGTATTCCCCAACATGACATACCCCTAATACTGTATTCCCCAACATGACATACCCCCAATACTGTATACCCCAACATGACATACCCCGAATACTGTATTCCCCAACGTGACTAACCCCGAATACTGTATTCACCAACAAGACATACTCCCAATACTGTATTCCCGAACATGACATACCCCCAATACTGTATTCCCCAACATGACATACCCCGAATACTGTATTCCCCAACGTGACATACCCCCAATACTGTATTCACCAACAAGACATACTCCCAATACTGTATTCCCCAACATGACATACTCCCAACAATGTATTACCCAACATAACATACTCCCAATACTGTATTCCCCAACATGACATACCCCCAATACTGTATTCCCCAACATGACATACCCCCAATACTGTATTCCCCAACATGACATACCCCCAATACTGTATTCCCCAACATGACATACCCCCAATACTGTATTCCCCAACATGACATACCCCCAATACTGTATTCCCGAACATGACATACTCCCAATACTGTATTCCCGAACATGACATACTCCCAATACTGTATTCCCCAACATGACATACTCCCAATACTGTATTCCCCAACATGACATACTCCCAATACTGTATTCCCCAACATGACATACTCCCAATACTGTATTCCCCAACATGACATACTCCCAATACTGTATTCCCCAACATGACATACTCCCAATACTGTATTCCCCAACATGACATACCCCCAATACTGTATTCCCCAACATGACATACCCCCAATACTGTATTCCCGAACATGACATACTCCCAATACTGTATTCCCGAACATGACATACTCCCAATACTGTATTCCCCAACATGACATACTCCCAATACTGTATTCCCCAACATGACATACTCCCAATACTGTATTCCCCAACATGACATACTCCCAATACTGTATTCCCCAACATGACATACTCCCAATACTGTATTCCCCAACATGACATACTCCCAATACTGTATTCCCCAACATGACATACTCCCAATACTGTATTCACCAACATGACATACCCCCAGGACTGTATTCCCGAACATGACATACACCCAATACTGTATTCCCCAACATGACATACACCCAATACTGTATTACCCAACATGACATACCCCCAATACTGTATTCCCGAACATGACATACCCCCAATACTGTATTCCCGAACATGACATACTCCCAATACTGTATTCCCGAACATGACATACCCCCAATACTGTATTCCCGAACATGACATACTCCCAATACTGTATTCACCAACATGACATACTCCCAATACTGTATTCCCGAACATGACATACCCCCAATACTGTATTACCCAACATGACATACTCCCAATACTGTATTCCTCAACATGACATACTCCCAATACTGTATTCCCGAACATGACATACCCCCAATACTGTATTACCCAACATAACATACTCCCAATACTGTATTCCTCAACATGACATACTCCCAATACTGTATTCCCCAACATGACATACCCCCAACAATGTATTACCCAACATGACATACCCCCAATACTGTATTACCCAACATGACATACTCCCAATGCTGTATTACCCAACATGACATACCCCCAATACTGTATTACCCAACATGACATACTCCCAATACTGTATTCCTCAACATGACATACTCCCAATACTGTATTACCCAACATGACATACCCCCAATACTGTATTACCCAACATGACATACTCCCAATACTGTATTACCCAACATGACATACCCCCAATACTGTATTCCCCAACATGACATACCCCCAACAATGTATTACCCAACATGACATACCCCCAATACTGTATTCCTCAACATGACATACTCCCAATACTGTATCTCCCAATACTGTATCCACCCCCAACATGATATACCCCCAGTACTGTATTCCCCAACATGACATATTCCGAGTATTTTATAACCCAACATGACATACCCCCAATACTGTATCCCCCAACATGACATACCCCCAATACTGTATCCCCCAACATGACATACCCCCAACACTGTATCCACCAACATGTCATTAGCCCCAATACTGTATCCCCTAACATGACATTACCCCAATACTGTATTCCTCTCTTTCACTCTCTCTTCTCTCCCCCCCCCCCCCCCCTCTCTCTCATGACAAAAACCCCAATACTGCATCCTTCCCACAACATGAGACAAGCCCCTATCCCCACTGGTGCAGCCCCAGCTACAGTAACACAGCCTCCCCCTGCTGTCTCCTCCTGCTGTCTCCAGACTGTAAACAAATCAAACAAAGCTGAAGCTCACCTGCATCCAGGGTTAAACGTATACGTGGCCATCTTGTACATAAGGCAGTGAGGATAGTAGGACGGATGAAACAGAGGTGTAGTCCACTGGTCTCAAAACATCGGCTGTCAAACTTTGTGGTTGCTGTGGCAACCAGGTGAGATGGACGGAGATGGAATCCTGTTGTGTGTAAATAGGGTCAGCACCTGTAATTAAGGATAGAGACAAGTGAGTTAGCCCCTGGTCAGGTGAGCCCCTGTGGTCATCAGAGCCTCTCCCCCCTGACGTGCTTTCAACTGACGAGTCAGAGTGGTAAAACTGGGGGTTGTTATTGTAAAGGTCCCGGCTGAATGATTTACACTTGTCGTGCTTCGCTGAATCTGTAATCTTCAGCGTCAGTTTTGGGGAAGTCGGTTCCGCTAGCTTTCCAAGATGGCTTGTGTTGTAATTCTTTCTATTCAGATTTTTCTTTTCCAGAAATAATTCAATCACTTGTGTAATTTTGCTTGAGCAGTGTCTGACTTAATTGATGAGGAAAAGTTTATGCATGTCTGGAGGGGGGTAGATTTTCATAATGAAGGGATGAATTTCTGGAGCAGCTTTTATAACAGCCCATCCATGTGTGTCGTCCTGGAAGACGCTTTACATCTTGTTCTTGAACAAAGACTTTGACAAAGTTTAAAACAATTATTTAACTTTATTCTTTCATGTTTGAAAATCTACAAGTTTTGTTTGTGAGTAAATGGAAGACTCTATGTTCCTTGCTTTATAACGATAGATGGATGTTTCTGGACTGCCACAGTGTGATGACATAATGGAATAAAATATAATGAAACAGACCAATGACTCTTTGCATTGAGTGCAAACAAATCATGACTGATAGATTAGAAAGGACTCAAGCAGTTGGCAGGTAAATGTTGGGACTGATTGCTGTCACAGTTCTCTTTGTTTTAGTTGCTTTACCAATATTTGGCTCAAAATTTGATCTTTGTGGTCAGACATGTGTCTAACTTTAAATTTATCTTAAAACTGCTATTTTGGTTTTATTTAATATCAGCCCAAACTTAAGTGTAAATGGATTGATTTTTATTAAAAAAACAACACATTGTACTATTGCATTTCTGAAAAAATAATATTCTGAAAAGCTCTGGTGCATCATGGGAAAACAAGTAACGCGGTGAAAGTTCGGGGAATCCAGGGTTGGTTGTGAAACCAGAAAATACAAATATATTTTTAAAAGGCAAATCACTCTGTAACTCCAGGCCTTAGATGTTAGAAAGCCTGATGACTAAATCACTGTTGAAAGTGGCATTTAAGTCTCACTCACTCACTCACTCACTCACTCACTCACTCACTCACTCACTCACTCACTCACTCACTCACTCACTCACTCACTCACTTGTCAGTTTCAACAAATATATTAGAAACCCATTGTTATAATCTTCATGTAATTAGTCATTGTTTACAGTTGTTTTGATATAGTTCAGTTCGTGAGGTACTTTGAGCTATCTTTTCTCTATTACGGCAATTACTTAACAGTTAAATCTGTGAACACTTAAATTAGACAAGCCATGAAGTCCCTGGAAAACGTTCAAGAGAAAATGATTGCAGTGTCGTTCATGCATGACAAGAATTGACTTATTTCAGCTATTGAATTTTAGACAACATGTATCTCTGGATGTACTGACTGCATCAGTGGTTTTTGTAACAACGTAATTAGACATTAATGTCGTATGTATGTGTGGACATTAGGAAATGATCATATTTCAATACAAGTTGATTACAGACATTGTGGATATGGAATTTGAAATTTGTTTATGATGGCTGCTTTTGAAGAAAGGTGTACATTAAATGTGTGTACGTTTTTCATTATGTTTATGCTCCATTGATTGTGTTCAGGATTTAATGGGCTTTGTCAGTATTCTTACTGAAACAAGGGGGGGGAGGGCATCCACGATAGTGTAAATGTAGGGATGAAATGGTGTCATGTTGTAAATGTTATTTAGTGATTGGTTCCTCGTTTCAATTTAGAATATTCCAAGAGGAGCTACTATCCACTGTGTGTCAAGTATTACATCCAAGAAAGTTGTGTTATGTGACCATTTCTTCCTTACATCATGCAGATGGGAAGGTCGGGGGATGCGATCCCCAGATGTTATACCAAAAGCCGTTGAAAGATGGTTCTTGTTGTTACCCTGCCTGGCAATCGGCATTAAGTGTCAGTATACTGTCAAAGTTAGGTTAAACTGCGGCTTGGTATCTCTGTGGGAAAGCTCTAAAAACGGGCATCAGTCCTGATGAGGCCAAGCAAGCACACACATGCACACACACACACGCACACGCACACGCACGCACGCACGCACGCACGCACGCACACACACACACACACACACACACACACACACACGCACACACTCACACACAAAGTGTCGCTACCTTCTTTGAGAGTCATTTAGAAGTTGGAGCACAGAGTAAGGATAAGGTATATATATGCTTCTTCATTACAATTAAGTGTCAACGTTTTGGTGTTCGTTCTTACACCTTAAAGAAGCTAGTGATGAAATTCCTGTGCATGGAATGTTGTTGAGGTGTCCTGTCGCCAGGGGTTGAGGTGTCCTGTTGAGGTGTCCTGTCCCCAGGGGTTGAGGTGCCCTGTCCCCAGGGGTTGAGGTGTCCTGTCCCCAGGGGTTGAGGTGCCCTGTCCCCAGGGGTTGAGGTGTCCTGTCCCCAGGGGTTGAGGTGTCCTGTCCCCAGGGGTTGAGGTGTCCAGTCCCTAGGGGTTGAGGTGCCCTGTCCCCAGGGGTTGAGGTGTCCTGTCCCCAGGGGTTGAGGTGCCCTGTCCCCAGGGGTTGAGGTGTCCTGTCCCCAGGGGTTGAGGTGTCCTGTCCCCAGGGGTTGAGGTGTCCTGTCCCTAGGGGTTTAGATGTCCTGTCCCTAGGGGTTGAGGTGTCCTGTCCCTAGGGTTTTAGATGTCCTGTCCCTAGTGGTTAAGATGTCCAGTCCCTAGGAGTTTAGGTGTCCTGTCCCTAGGGGTTGAGGTGTCCAGTCCCTAGGGGTTGAGGTGTCCTGTCCCTAGGGGTATAGATGTCCTGTCCCTAGGGGTTGAGGTGTCCTGTCCCTAGGGGTATAGATGTCCTGTCCCTAGGGGTTGAGGTGTCCTGTCCCTAGGGGTTTAGATGTCCAGTCCCTAGGTGTTGAGGTGTCCTGTCACCAGGGGTTTAGGTGTCCTGTCCCTAGGGGTTGAGGTGTCCTGTCCCTAGGGGGTAAGGTGGCCTGTTGAGGTGTCCTGTCCCCAGGGGTTGAGGTGTCCTGTCCCTAGGGGTTTAGGTGTCCTGTCCCTAGGGGTTTAGGTGTCCTGTCCCTAGGGGTTGAAGTGTCCTGTCCCCAGGGGTTGAGGTGTCCTGTCCCTAGGGGTTGAGGTGTCCTGTCCCTAGGGGTATAGATATCCTGTCCCTAGGGGTTTAGGTGTCCTGTCCCTAGGGGTTGAGGTGTCCTGTCCCTAGGGGTTGAGGTGTCCTGTCCCTAGGAGGTAAGGTGGCCTGTTGAGGTGTCCTGTCCCCAGGGGTTGAGGTGTCCTGTCCCTAGGGGTTTAGGTGTCCTGTCCCTAGGGGTTGAAGTGTCTTGTCCCCAGGGGTTGAGGTGTCCTGTCCCTAGGGGTTGAGGTGTCCTGTCCCTAGGGGTTGAGGTGTCCTGTCCCTAGGGGTTTAGATGTCCTGTACCTAGGTGTTGAGGTGTCCTGTCACCAGGGGTTTAGGTGTCCTTTCCCTAGGGGTGGAGGTGTCCAGTCCCCAGGGGTTGAGGTGTCCTGTCCCCAGGGGTGGAGGTGTCCAGTCCCTAGGGGTTGAGGTGTCCTGTCCCCAGGGGTTGAGGTGTCCTGTCCCTATGGGTTTAGGTGTCCTGTCCCTAGGGGTTAAGGTGGCCTGTTGAGGTGTCCTGTCCCCAGGGGTTGAGGTGTCCTGTCCCCAGGTGTTGAGGTGTCCTGTCCCTAGGGGTTGAGGTGTCCTGTCCCTAGGGGTTGAGGTGTCCTGTCCCCAGGGGTTGAGGTGTCCTGTCCCTAGGGGTTGAGGTGTCCAGTCCCTAGGGGTTAAGGTGGCCTGTTGAGGTGTCCTGTCTCCAGGGGTTGAGGTGTCCTGTCCCCAGGGGTTGAGGTGTCCTGTCCCCAGGGGTTGAGGTGTCCTGTCTCCAGGGGTTGAGGTGTCCTGTCCCTAGGGGTTTAGGTGTCCTGTCCCTAGGGGTTAAGGTGGCCTGTTGAGGTGTCCTGTCCCCAGGGGTTGAGGTGGCCTGTCGCCAGGGGTTGAGGTGGCCTGTTGAGGTGTCCTGTCCCCAGGGGTTGAGGTGTCCTGTCCCTAGGGGTTAGGTGTCCTGCCCCTAGGGGTTAAGGTGGCCTGTTGAGGTGTCCTGTCCCCAGGGGTTGTGAGTGTCCTGTCCCCAGGTGTTGAGGTGGCCTGTCCCTAGGGGTTTAGGTGTCCTGTTGAGGTGGCTTGTCCCCAGGGGAAGATTTAACATCAAATTTGAATGTAGCCAGAAGGGCCTGATCCTTTCAAAAGTTACTGTCCCTTCTACAAACAAACTGGCCCAAAACTAAATGTTGTAGACCCCGTGTTATAGAGTGAGAGGAAACTACAGTACCGTTGTACCTGAGAGACCCCCCCCACACTTTTACATTGGGTGCTGGCCAACTGGTGCATGGTGATGAGAGGCATAGATAGACATGGGACATGGGACATTAATACCATCAATCCTATTTTTAAAAATTTGTTTTCAAGTTAGATTTGTCCTCTCAGTGGTGTGGTTTAGCATGTAAGTGTCTGATAAAGAAAGATCTCAGATCACAACTATCAACAACAAAATCGGGTAGATATAGATGGGGTCAAAGGTCATGTGAAATGTGCCTGTATTGTCTGTCGATACACTGGGGTACCTTTAATCTGATCTCTGGAGGGAACAGTTATCTCAAGCAGTGTTTTGTGTCACGGACAGAAGTTAAGAGGTCATTAAAGCTGCTAAAGTGGTTGTCAAGTGAAAAGTGTGGTAGTCGGGGAATAGTGTGGTAGACGGGAATAGTGTGGTAGTCAGGGGAATAGTGTGGTAGTCAGGGGAATAGTGTGGTAGTCAGGAGAATAGTGTGGTAGTCAGGGGAATAGTGTGGTGGTCAGGGGAATAGTGTGGTAGACAGGGGAATGGTGTGGTAGTTGTGGGAATGGTGTGGTAGTCAGGAGAATAGTGTGGTAGTCAGGAGAATAGTGTGGTAGTTGTGGGAATGGTGTGATGGACAGAATGGTGTGGTAGTCAGGAGAATAGTGTGGTAGACAGGAGAATCATTTGGTAGTTGTGGGAATGGTGTGGTAGTCAGGGGAATGGTGTGGTAGTCAGGGGAATAGCGTGGTTAGTAGTCAGGGGAATAGCGTGGTTAGTAGTCAGGGGAATAGTGTGGTAGACAGGGGAATAGTGTGGTGGTCAGGGGAATAGTGTTGTTGTCGGGGAATAGTGAGGTAGTCAGGAGAATAGTGTGGTAGTCAGGGGAATATTGTGATGGACAGAATGGTGTGGTAGTCAGGAGAATAGTGTAGTGGTCAGGGGAATAGTGTGGTAGACAGGGGAATAGTGTGGTGGTCAGGGGAATAGTGTTGTTGTCGGGGAATAGTGAGGTAGTCAAGAGAATAGTGTGGTAGTCAGGAGAATAGTGTGGTAGTCAGGGGAATAGTGTGGTAGTCAGGGGAATATTGTGATGGACAGAATGGTGTGGTAGTCAGGAGAATAGTGTAGTGGTCAGGGGAATAGTGTGGTAGACAGGGGAATAGTGTGGTGGTCAGGGGAATAGTGTTGTTGTCGGGGAATAGTGAGGTAGTCAGGAGAATAGTGTGGTAGTCAGGAGAATAGTGTGGTAGTCAGGGGAATAGTGTGGTGGTCAGGGGAATGGTGTGGTGGTCAGGGGAATAGTGTAGTGGTCAGGGGAATAGTGTGGTAGACGGGAATAGTGTGGTGGTCAGGGGAATAGTGTTGTTGTCAGGGGGAATAGTCAGGTAGTCAGAGAATTTTGTGGTGGTCAGGGGAATAGTGTGGTTGTCAGGGGAATAGTGTGGTAGTCAGGGGAATAGTATGGTAGTCAGAGGAATAGTGTGGTAGACAGAATGGTGTGGTAGTCAGGGGAATAGTGTGTAGTCAGGGGAATAGTGTGTAGTCAGGGGAATAGTGTGTAGGCAGGGGAATAGTGTGGTAGTCAGAGGAATAGTGTGGTAGACAGAATGGTGTGGTAGTCAGGGGAATAGTGTGTAGTCAGGGGAATAGTGTGGTAGTCAGAGGAATAGTGTGGTAGACAGAATGGTGTGGTAGTCAGGGGAATAGTGTGGTAGTTTGGAGAATAGTGTGGTAGTCGGGGGTGATAGGTGGCTACCTGTCCCAAAGTAACAGAAACACATTCCCCTGTGCACACACGAACACACGAACACACGCACACACGAACACACGCACGCACACAAGTCTGGCAGTTGGGATGTCCCCACCATCCTGCTGAATATCCCCACTAAAACGTTGTATGAATATCCCCACTAAAACGTTGTATGAATATCCCCACTAAAACGTTGTATGAATATGCCAACAAAACATTTCTTGACTTTAGGAAATAGTGATTATCCCTTTCCACCTAATATTTCACTGTCATATCAATCATCCTTTAGATGAAACATCACCAATGCTGTTTATGAAAAATGTTTGATACAAGACTCAATTATCATCAGAGGCTAAAGTACTTTCCTCATATGCTTTCACTGTTCAAGGTTTATTTATACCTCTGACAAATCTGGTAGACCCAAGGACCCTGTATGACCTTGGTGAGGTCAAGGATTCAGAAGTCAAGGTCACTTATCTTTTTGATGTGTTTACCACTGGCTACCACAAGCGATCTATGTGCTACGACGATCGTAAGCCAGGGTTAAGGTATGGGAGTTACGATCCCTTTAGCGCTAAGATTGCTCTGTCTTGAACCATGAACAATCATTAGATTTGAACTATTTGCAAAACCTGATTATCATGAACAATGATGTGTTTCGAAATTCCAGTACAAGATGCTGATCTACTCCCTGGATGGGCGTTGCCTGGCAACCTACACAGCGTATGACTTTGCACTTGGCATCAAGAACATTGCATGGTCACTGTCCAGTCAGTTCCTCGCCATCGGCAGTTTCGATGAAAAGGTCAGTCAGTTTGATTTCAGGACATGAACTTCTCTGAAACGTTCTGAATGGTTGAGATGGATGTTTTGAATTATTTTTTAATTGAGAATGGGTTGTTTGGTTGGCACAGGATGTGGTTGGTTGGTTGTGATTGTGGTTGGTTGTGGTTGGTTGGTTGTGATTGTGGTTGGTTGGTTGTGATTGTGGTTGGTTGATTGTGGTTGTGGTTGGTTGGTTATCTGTTGATGGTTGGTTGACTGCTTGTGGTTAGTTGTGGTTGGTTGGTTGTGATTGTGGTTGGTTGTGATTGTGGTTGATTGGTTGTGATTGTGGTTGGTTGTGATTGTGGTTGATTGGTTGTGATTGTGGTTGGTTGGTTGTGATTGTGGTTGGTTGTGATTGTGGTTGGTTGTGATTGTGATTGGTTGTGGTTGGTTGATTGTGGTTGTGGTTGGTTGGTTATCTGTTGATGGTTGGTTGACTGCTTGTGGTTAGTTGTGGTTGGTTGGTTGTGATTGTGGTTGGTTGTGATTGTGGTTGATTGGTTGTGATTGTGGTTGGTTGTGATTGTGGTTTGTTGTGATTGTGGTTGGTTGTGGTTGGCTGCTTGTGATTGTGGTTGGTTGCTTGTGGTTGTGGTTGGTTGGTTATCTGTTGATGGTTGGTTGACTGCTTGTGGTTGGTTGTTGTTGGTTGTGACTGCTTGTTTGTGGTTGTTTCTGTACATATTCAGGGCTCCAGATACTTCTTCCAGCCACTGAGTCATTGTTTGGTGAATGTATTTCATCTTACAGCAAGTTTCCAAGATATTTTTTTCAGTGTTTATTCCAAGGATGCGTCATTCGTGCTGACTGTCTCTCATTAAATTGTACAAATCAAATCGCGACGATGTGCTAAGTTTGAAGACATTTGAAGACATATCGGGTGTCACACTTTTATATCCAGTCGCAGGTTTTATGCCAGGCTTATGAGAGAAACACGGATTAATTTTCCACTGACTCTTACTAAAGTACAAGGTTGTGTTTGTCTCGAGCCATCAAGCTTTTAAAGAAACACATAATTTTCAGATTTGGAATTTTGTGTGTGGATCACGGTCACATCTATGGTCTAGGAGACACGCTGCTGGTGTGAGGTCATGTGACCCTAACGGTAATACTGTGTGTCGAAATAAGTACCTGGGCTAGGTAAGAAGGGGTTTCCGATTTCACATCGTCCTCCCTGGAAATGAATCTTAGTGTTACAGCGGGTGACTGGCTATGCAATTTGAACATTGTGACTGTTAAAAGTGGTTTTATCGTTATTGTCCTTCGTAACCCGATCCTGGTACGGTGGAGACACACTGGTCGGAGGAAGATAATAACTTATAACGGGAGAACACTGCTTGGGATCACATGTCTGTTTGTTTACGGTTGCTGCATACCGTTACTTCAAAAAGTAGGTATTGTGCGAGGAGAATATCTCACCACCTAGGAAGATAGCGGACTGGTAACTTTTGTTATGTTAAAATATGCAGTAAATCTGAGTCCACCCTATCAGTCTTTGGAGCCCAGGGCAGAGGGGATATTGGATATGATAAATATATATTTGCAAAGTTTATTCATATTACTTCTGCCTCTGATTTGATCTTTAAAGATACTAATGTGTTTTGACAGCTATTCATGTGCGGCCGAACACGTAGACGTCCTTTGCAGGTATCATAGGTGCTTGCTGCTTGAGAAAAGTTTGGAAAATAATCCTGGCTTTGTCGTAGAACTTAGTACACTGTTAGTACAGCCAGATACACACATACAACAACCCAGGATTGTGAAGAATAAATGAAAAATTAATTGAATTATGATTTAGAAATCGTTTTTGTGTGTTATTAAAATACAAAAGAAATGATTAGATATTTGGTATTTTCAGAGGTTAGTTAACTTTTTACTTTAAATCCAATAATATTTTGTTTAAAGCTGGAACTTTTTTTAAGGTTCTTATTGTCTTAAATTCCAAGGTATTTTCCATTGTATTTTAACACTGCATTCTGTGTAATATTTAAGACTAAGCATTAAAGACTCTTCCTCCTAATGTCCTGTTGTCAGTGAAATACAAGTACCCTCTACAAAGCCTGCATTAGTGATAGATTAACATTAAATCAAATTTTCATTCCAATTTGGGGTTTGTGCTGACATTTGCTGCAGACTTGGAGCTGAATATTGGGTACTCCTCTGCATCTTCATCTTAAAATGTCGTCAGACAGCTGTATCAAATAACCAGGATTATTGGAGGCTGTTTGACAACTGTTGTCATAATGATAACTGGAATATGTACCGAGACGAGTCCGGGAGCACTGGTGTCATCACTCGTCCACCTAATCACTCATGGTATAAATGTTATAATTGAATTGAATTTTTTTTTTTTTGCCATGTAGAAAGAAAACAGATTATCTTATGAACGAGTTGACCCACGTGTGTAAGGATCCATCATTTACAGTTGTCTTAGTATCATTAAACTGTTGAGAAACATTAGATTAACATCAACTGTTGGCATGAATCCTAGAGAACAAGTACTGTGATGTAGAAGTTCAGACAAACTTAATTATGACGAGAATAAACAAAATATAAACAAAAAATAAACTTGAACATAAAAACAAAGGTAATGTATCTTCCATGATGATGGTTTTGACGTCTGTATTATTTCAATGTGATATTTTAGTGCAGATGCTTGTATCTCTGCCAAGCAAGAGATTAAAAAGTTGAAATCTGTAAGTCAAGTCTGCAATAATACTGCAGCTTATAAGATGTAACTTAATTAAATTTCTTCAAATCATTTCATAGTTGGTCACATTTCATATTGAAAAGCATCCTTCCTAATAAAGGTTGCAGTCTTTGATAAAAGGTTGTATTTCAGATGTAAAATAAACGATTTGTGTTCTCACCAAAGTTTATCAAGTTGAAGAGTGTTACAAGAACTCCTTAACGGGATGATACCCGTCTGTTGATAGTGGTGACCCACCCCTCAGCCTTTTGCTCCTATCTCTAACTCCTCAGCATTGAGGGCACACATATCACTGTTTGTCCATCAGTTGCCATGGCGATTGAGGCTTCTGCGACTCAAGTCTGGACTGGTCAGTAAGTGATTGGTTATCTTGACCTTGTGTTTATACACACAGATCTCTGTTAAACGCACGTAAAGGTCTACATGTGCCTTTAACAGGGTATGTAAGCTGTAGCGGAATGTCAAGTCCTAGATATATGTCAGTATGATACAGGTGGTGATATTGATTGGTGTTTCTTGATGTACATAGCTCGTAATGCCCTGGTGGAGTGAGAGTAAGAGGTGTGATATATGTTGTAACGTACAGGAATAAGGCTGGAGTACTTACCGTGGCATCTTGTCCTGGTGGCTGGGGCGAGGGGTATGGGGAGCTCAATCGCTTGAGCAGATAGGACGACTTTCTAGCGAACTATTCATGCATGCTCAAAAAGTGGATCGTGTATCTTTGTGTTGGAGGTGAGGAGCCCCAGCTGTCATCGAGAGGTGGTTCAGAGGAGCTTATGGATTGTGGGCTGGGAGTGTGAGTTGGGTTGGGTTGGGGTGGAGCGTTGGTGGGGTGGAAGGTTGGTGGGGTGGAAGGTTGGTGGGGTGGAAGGTTGGTGGGGTGGAAGGTTGGTGAGGTGGAGCGTTGGTGGGGTGGATGGTTGGTGGGGTGGAAGGTTGGTGGGGTGGAAGGTTGGTGGGATGGAGCACTGGTGGGGTGGAAGGTTGGTGGGGTGGAAGGTTGGTGGGGTGGAAGGTTGGTGGAGTGGAAGGTTGGTGGAGTGGAGTGATGGTGTGGGTGGGAGTCCTTCTGACTCGGAAGTTGGGGTGGGTGGGGTTGGTGAGAGTCTTAGTGGATGAGGTTGGGTGGGGTGAGTCTTAGTGGCTGAGGTAGGGAGTTGGGTGGGGTGAGTCTTAGTGACTGAGGTAGGGAGTTGGGTGGGGTGAGACTTAGTGGCTGAGGTAGGGAGTTGGGTGGGGTGAGACTTAGTGGCTGAGGTAGGGAGTTGGGTGGGGTGAGACTTAGTGGCTGAGGTAGGGAGTTGGGTGGGGTGAGTCTTAGTGGCTGGGGTAGGGAGTTGGGTGGGGTAAGACCTAGTGGCTGAGGTAGGGAGTTGGGTAGGATGAGACTTAGTGGCTGAGGTAGGGAGTTGGGTGGGGTGAGACTTAGTGGCTGAGGTAGGGAGTTGGGTGGGGTGAGACTTAGTGGCTGAGGTAGGGAGTTGGGTGGGGTTAGACCTAGTGGCTGAGGTAGGGAGTTGGGTGGGGTTAGACCTAGTGGCTGAGGTAGGGAGTTGGGTGGGGTGAGACTTAGTGGCTGAGGTAGGGAGTTGGGTGGGGTGAGACCTAGTGGCTGAGGTAGGGAGTTGGGTGGGGTTAGACCTAGTGGCTGAGGTAGGGAGTTGGGTGGGGTTAGACCTAGTGGCTGAGGTAGGGAGTTGGGTGGGGTGAGACTTAGTGGCTGAGGTAGTGAGTTGGGGTGGGTGAGACTTAGTGGCTGAGGTAGGGTGTTGGGTGGGGTGAGACTTAGTGGCTGAGGTAGGGAGTTGGGTGGGGTGAGACTTAGTGGCTGAGGTAGGGAGTTTGGTGGGGTGAGACTTAGTGGCTGAGGTAGGGAGTTGGGTTGGGTGAGACTTAGTGGCTGAGGTAGGGAGTTGGGTTGGGTGAGACTTAGTGGCTGAGGTAGGGAGTTGGGTGGGGTTAGATTTAGTGGCTGAGGTAGGGAGTTGGGTGGGGTTAGACCTAGTGGCTGAGGTAGGGAGTTGGGTGGGGTGAGTCTTAGTGGCTGAGGTAGGGAGTTGGGTGGGGTTAGACCTAGTGGCTGAGGTAGGGTGTTGGGTGGGGTGAGACTTAGTGGCTGAGGTAGGGAGTTGGGTGGGGTAAGACCTAGTGGCTGAGGTAGGGAGTTGGGTGGGGTGAGACTTAGTGGCTGAGGTAGGGAGTGGGGTGGGTGAGACTTAGTGGCTGAGGTAGGGAGTTGGGTGGGGTAAGACCTAGTGGCTGAGCTAGGGAGTTGGGTGGGGTGAGACTTAGTGACTGAGGTAGGGAGTTGGGTGGGGTGAGACTTAGTGGCTGAGGTAGGGTGTTGGGTGGGGTGAGACTTAGTGGCTGAGGTAGGGTGTTGGGTGGGGTGAGACTTAGTGACTGAGGTAGGGAGTTGGGTGGGGTGAGACTTAGTGGCTGAGGTAGGGTGTTGGGTGGGGTGAGACTTAGTGGCTGAGGTAGGGAGTTGGGTGGGTGAGACTTAGTGGCTGAGGTAGGGAATTGGGTGGGGTGAGACTTAGTGGCTGAGGTAGGGAGTTGGGTGGGGTGAGACTTAGTGGCTGAGGTAGGGAGTTGGGTGGGGTGAGACTTAGTGGCTGAGGTAGGGTGTTGGGTGGGGTGAGACTTAGTGGCTGAGGTAGGGAGTTGGGTGGGGTGAGACTTAGTGACTGAGGTAGGGAGTTGGGTGGGGTGAGACTTAGTGGCTGAGGTAGGGAGTTGGGTTGGGTGAGACTTAGTGGCTGAGGTAGGGAGTTGGGTGGGGTGAGACTTAGTGGCTGAGGTAGGGAGTTGGGTGGGGTGAGACCTAGTGGCTGAGGTAGGGAGTTGGGTGGGGTGAGACTTAGTGGCTGAGGTAGGGTGTTGGGTGGGGTGAGACTTAGTGACTGAGGTAGGGAGTTGGGTGGGGTGAGACTTAGTGGCTGAGGTAGGGTGTTGGGTGGGGTGAGACTTAGTGGCTGAGGTAGGGAGTTGGGTGGGGTGAGACTTAGTGGCTGAGGTAGGGAATTGGGTGGGGTGAGACTTAGTGGCTGAGGTAGGGAGTTGGGTGGGGTGAGACTTAGTGGCTGAGGTAGGGAGTTGGGTGGGGTGAGACTTAGTGGCTGAGGTAGGGTGTTGGGTGGGGTGAGACTTAGTGGCTGAGGTAGGGAGTTGGGTGGGGTGAGACTTAGTGACTGAGGTAGGGAGTTGGGTGGGGTGAGACTTAGTGGCTGAGGTAGGGAGTTGGGTTGGGTGAGACTTAGTGGCTGAGGTAGGGAGTTGGGTGGGGTGAGACTTAGTGGCTGAGGTAGGGAGTTGGGTGGGGTGAGACTTAGTGGCTGAGGTAGGGAGTTGGGTGGGGTGAGACCTAGTGGCTGAGGTAGGGAGTTGGGTGGGTGAGACTTAGTGGCTGAGGTAGGGAGTTGGGTGGGGTGAGTCTTAGTGGCTGAGGTAGGGAGTTGGGGTGGGTGGGGTTTGTGTGAGTCTTAGTGGATGAGGTAGGGAGTTAGTGGGGGGTGGGGTTGAATTGACTTTTAGTGGCTGAGGTAGCATGTTGGAGTGGGGTTGGTGGGGGAGGAGGGGGGAGGGAGGTGTTGGTGTCAGGTAAGAAGTTGGGGGAGGGTGATGATGATAGCATTACGGATTATGGCAAATGCCACCCCACCCCAACTCCCTGTGAACTATAGGTATCGAGTTGAGGACAAGGGTTAACTATAGATATCAACATGAGGAGACGGGTAAACTGTAGGTATCGGCATGGGGGCTATACTGCAGATAGTGGTGATTGCCACATGGAAGGAGGGGAGATGGAGGGGTACTGTTGTGTTAATTGTAGACATGACTCCCTGATTGTTGAGGTGGGGAGATGAGGAGTGGTGTGTTGTACAGGCAGACAGTCTGGTAATCAGAAAGAAGCATGTTATACAGTACACACAATGGGCTGGTGATGGATGTCCTGTGGAACTATATGTGAAGGGGGCAGGATCAAGTGTGGGCTGACTTGCGGAGATTGAAGAGAATGTATCTGGCGTAGTGATTATTTCCATTTTTCCAAAACCAGTATTTCGAAGTTGGGTGGTGGCGAGAGTAGGAGTCTTATGAGTTGGGGTGGGCTGGGGTGGAGTGTTGGTGAGGGTGGGAGTCTTACAAGGTGGGTAGGGAGTTGGGGTGGGATGGAGTGTTGGTGAGGGTGGAAGTCTTACAAGGTGGGTAGAGAGTTGGGGTGGGGTGGAGTGTTGGTGAGGGTGGGAGTCATACAAGGTTGGTAGAGAGTTGGGGTGGGGTGGAGTGGAGTGTTGGTGAGGGTGGGAGTCATACAAGGTGGGTAGGGAGTTGAGCTGGGGTGGAGTGTTGGTGAGGGTGGGAGTCTTACAAGGTGGGTAGGGAGTTGGGGTGGGGTGGAGTGTTGGTGAGGGTGGGAGTCTTACAAGGTGGGTAGGGAGTTGGGGTGGGGTGGAGTGTTGGTGAGGGGGGGAGTCTTACAAGGTGGGTAGGGAGTTGGGATGGAGTGGAGTGTTGGTGAGGTTGGGAGTCTTACAAGGTGGGTAGGAAGTTGGGGTGGGGTGGAGTGTTGGTGAGGGTGGGAGTCATACAAGGTGGGTAGGGAGTTGGGGTGGAGTGGAGTGTTGGTGAGGGTGGGAGTCATACAAGGTGGGTAGGGAGTTGGGGTGGGATGGAGTGTTGGTGAGGGTGGAAGTCTTACAAGGTGGGTAGGGAGTTGGGGTGGGGTGGAGTGTTGGTGAGGGTGGGAGTCATACAAGGTGGGTAGGGAGTTGGGGTGGGATGGAGTGTTGGTGAGGGTGGGAGTCTTACAAGGTGGGTAGGGAGTTGGGGTGGGGTGGAGTGTTGGTGAGGGTGGGAGTCTTACAAGGTGGGTAGGGAGTTGGGGTGGGGTGGAGTGTTGGTGAGGGTGGGAGTCTTACAAGGTGGGTAGGGAGTTGGGGTGGGGTGGAGTGTTTGTGAGGGTGGGAGTCTTATAGGCAGGGCAAAGAGTTGAGTGGGATTGGGTAGGATATTACTACCGCTGTGACTATTTGCGATAAAATCATTTTGATGATTTTAAGTTAATTTGTCTGAAAATGTATTGGAAGTCTCTCCAACTCTGCTTGACTGCCGTGGAAGACATTGGTGAGGTTGCCAGGGAAACAAATCAGATTCCTATCTGGACAACATGGAGTCAATTCACCTGTGTTCCCTTTTAAAGAAAGATGGTATTCCAGTTTCCTACCTCAGTCTTGTGCTGCAATGCGTCATCAGAGTAAAATCCCAGTCAACTCCCAGGGAAGGTCGGACTGCTGAGTTAACCTGACTCCATCTGAGGACGTTGTTTCCAATTGTCTCTGGTGGAGTGTCTATTGCTGTAATCTAAGGCAGATAAGATTTGTAACTCAGACTGATATGTGGGGGACTTACACTCAGGGATGGGAAGCAGGACATTTAGCCTGTATGGGGAGGAGGTGGTACACGTGTATTTCTAGAAGCATGTGTGGTTTTCTTTTAAACTGACGGTAATGTTCTATATATTATTTATTTTCCAAATCATTGTTATGGTCTTATTCTCAAACCATTGTGTCATTGTGTCTTTGTGTCAGTGTCATCGTGGCAGCGCTCACTCCAGCACTTATTCATTCACTCACTCCAACATTCACTCTAGCACTCACTTACTTACTCCAACATTCACTCATTTCAGCACTAACTCACCTCCAACATTCACTCCAA